GGCAAAGCGCGAGGAAAGGCCGTGGAGGGTGGACCGTGCCCGAAGCCACCTGCCTCCGTGGGGGACATGGTGAGGACGCGGGCTCAGGACGTTCACGCCATGCCTGTGCTCGGAGTTGGGGGTTTTTCGATGCCACCTGACCACGAGGGACCATTCCTGTCCCTTGATGGGGTTGGGAAGGTTTTGCCATTCTAGCCAGTGCCCCAAAGCTCAGACGTGACCTGTCTGGGAAAGCGATACAGGGCCGAGCGTCAGTGGACCTTCTGGCCTCACTGGGCGTCACCCAGGCTCTCGGTGCTGGTGGCTTCATCTCTGGGGGCCAGGCACCAGGGCGCAGGGGTGCGGGGCATCCTCAGGCCCTCACAGGTAGGTGGGGCACACGAGGGTGGTACAGTGCACAAGGCTCAAATAGCCCGAGGCACCACTGGGGGGGATGTCAGCAGGGAGGTGCCCCCCAAGCTGAGTCTGGAGGCTGAGTAGGAAGCCAGGAGAGGGCCATGTGTGCTGACGCCAGGACTAGGAGAACAGGGAAGGCGCATCCTGGCAGGGCCTGGGTGTAAGTCACCAAGGGAGTCGAGGGTGGTGAAGGGAGCCGAGATAGGAGAGCTGAGGCTGGGGAGGGGCCCGTGGGGCCTTGGCGTTTTATCTGACCCTCATGGGGAACCGAGGGGAGGGCTGGTGCCAGGGCAGCCCCAAGAGCCATGGTTTGTGTCCGGTCCTGGGACGCAGTTTGGAGAGGATTGGAGGACGGTCATCGGGAGGCATCCTGCTGACCAGGGCCCATGGTGTCCACCGGGGGGTCCACCAGGGGAACAGCATCCCCCGACTCCGAGGCTCAGAGCACCCTCAGTGACGGAGGAATCCCTGGGAAGTGCAGTGAAGTGTTCATGGGGACAGCTGGGGTGGCTGGGGAGATGCAGCCTTGCTCTGCTGGGGGCAGGGGAGCAGACTGAGGGTGTCTCTGGGCTTTCCTGGGCCTGGAGTTACTGCTTCAGCCCCAGGCTTCACTCCCCTCCAAAGTCAAACGGGTTAGAATCCTTTCCCCCTTCCCGGTGGGGGTGGGCGGGGCAATTACCTGAAGCAGAAAAGGAAGTGGACAGGAGCGCTCTGTAAGCAAGGGTCCCCCCCTTTCTTGTCTCTGAGCCCTGGCCTCCCACACTGCTGCAAGCTCCCACCTGCCTCGCTGCTTTCCGCCTGCAGTGGTTCCTGCTGTGGGCCCAGGCGGTGGAGAAAGCTGCTGTTTCCTGTTTAAGCTCCAGGGAGCCACTTTGTTTTCACCCTGGGCAGCTTTTCCCATCCATTAGCTTTCTGCCGTGAGACTCCGGTGGGTTTGCCGCCTTCCACCACCTGCTCTGCCACCATCAGTGTCACCCAGCACTTGGCCCTTCTCCCGGCCTGCCGCCCTGGGGCCTGAGAACTTGTTGCTACCCATGAGGCTCTGGAAGGGAGCCACTCGAAAGCAGCTGCCCCACATGTCACCGGGAGCAAGGGAAAGTCTCAGAAGAAATCAGTTCCGCTTTGCTGAAAATTAAATTTCAGAAACCCTTCTGAGCGTGGCCTGGGACTGGGAAGAGAATGAATCACGCCAGCCCTGGTGGTTCATCTTGGTCCAAGTGACTCAGTGTTCTTGTCCACCCTCCCTCTGGCCAATCCAGTCCCCCCACCACCCCCGCTGTAGTTGACCTCAGAAACAAGAGACACTTCTGCTCCCAGTTTGGGGGTGGGGAGCCTAATTGGAACCGTTTGTGCTCCGGAGTCGTGTGGTCTCAGCCCCGCGCCTGGGCTAGCTGCAGCCTCTCCTGATGGCTGTTTACTTGGGTGCCTTAAAAGGGGTCTCCCCACGTGGAACCATCTTAGCCCACCCTGCTGGGCGTCCCCTGCACTGCAGTGAGGGACCAAGATGTGCTAGTTTCACGGACCCTCTACCCCAGGTGACTGGACCCAGGGTCGTAGGCTGTGTCACCCACAGTTCTTTTGTAGGGAGGGAGATGGGAGTCAGATGTAATTTAACAGGATCCCAGGGCGGCCAGCAGCAGGCTCCTTTATGGGGACGCAGCCCTGCCATAGCAACCTGCCCCACTGCCTCCCAGGGTCCAGAGGAGCTTTGTTCAGCCTGCACGACTTCATTTTTTTTTTTTTCCTTAAAGTGGAAAAGGGGGAGGCTGTGGGGAGAAAGGGCTCTGCTATAAACAGTTACCAAGGAGACCCCAGCCGGGGCTGGGGAGGTTTCCTCCTTCCCTTGGTCCATACAGGAGGAGGAGGGGTGTGTGCCAGACGCAGGGGCTCATGGGAGGCTCCAGCCGGGAGTCCGGTTCCTCCCCGCTGGGCCCGCCAGATGCAGCCGCTCTCCAAGGCTCTGGGATCGGAGGCAGGCAGGGGCTCGGCAGGGCTCCTGAGAGGAGCCCTCATCCAGGTCCTCCTCCAAGAGGACCAGAGCGTCTGGGAGGATGTGCAGCATCCATGGGCTGGGCTGCCCGCCTCCAGTGCTGGTAGAGAATGGACGGGGCCCGACCTGCTAGCTGCTGGCCCCCCGCACACGTCCGGGGGCGCAGCATTCTGCCTGGCCCCCGCAGTCCAGAGCAGCTGGGCATGAGAAGCCATGGGGTGCGCCTGCTCAGCTCATCAGGACGAGCCCATCCAGAGGTCAGTTCCGGACAGCGTCCGGGCACCCCCACTGGGCTGTGGAGGGAACTTGCTCCCGGGCAGGGACGTCTAGAGGCATGAGGAGGGCACAGCCTCAAGGGCCCCTGGGGGTGCGCTGGGGCACGGCCACCCTGGCCCCCGCGGTCCTGGTTTGCAGGCTGCCTGTCTCTGCTTCCGAAGAAAGCGGTTTAGACCAGAAACCAGGAGGGCCGCAGTCTCCCTACTCACTCCTCGCCCCATGAAAGATCAGGTTCCGAGTGCAAATCCTGTTGCGGAGCGGTCAGGAGGGGGGAGGCCAGCTGAGGGTACCCAGGGATGGCCCTGCTCAGGGCCTGGCAGCCAGGCGTCAGAGGTGGGAGCGTGAAGAGCCTGCCCTGTGTCGGGCAGTGACTGGAGGCACGGACAGGGTGTCCCCCTCCTCCTCGGGTTTCCCGTTCCCCTTGTGGCTCTGTGGGCGTGATCTTTCCCCAGGGGCTGAAGCTGAGGACAGTGCTGGCCTTCAGAAGTGCACACCTGTCTCAGGAGCACCCTTTTCCTGGGGGTGGGGGCCCCTAGCACCTCGTGCCTGCCCTCTGACACCCCCAGCCAGACCTGCATAGAGGGCCCCTCTCCCCTCCTGCCGGTCTGGAACACCCCCCTCCCTGCAGCTGCATGGGGAGCTCCCCCTCCTTGGCCCTCCTCCCCAGAGCTCATCCCTGCCAGCTGCCTGGGCCTCATCCAGGAGCCCCTCAGCTGCTGCGGCTTTCCCTCGCGGGAACCGTTTCCTCCCTGAGACTAGAGCCCAGTTCTTCCTCAGGCTTTTCTTGTCTCTCCGGGCACAGGGCCTGCTCCCTCTGGAGCCTGTGGCCTGCGGACGCCCCATCCGTTTGGTCTTCTCACACCTCACCCTGCTGAAATCACAGAGCCACCCAAATACTTTCCTCTTCCCTCTTTATCCCTGAGAGTTAGAGACGTTCCCAGTGCAGAGCACCCCACCGGGGCGGCTGCAAAGGTGGAGATGCAGGGTTTTCAACCTAGGAGTCCGAGGCCTCGAGAGGCCTGCCTTCTCCGGTCGGGGGCCCATTTAGTAGAAGAACCAGGCTTTGACCGTGAGCCTCTCTGCTCCTGAGGTGTGGCCCCTCCACTTCCTCTGTGATTTTCCGAGCCTGGTGACAGGCCCTGGGAAGGTAGGGGCCACCTCATGTGGTCTCATGCCCGCCCCCCCTTGGCTGGCCCGTGTCGCCTGGAGGTGGAGGATGGGCAGCAGGGTGTTCAGTGGGTGGTGGGCGTGCCCAGTCCCTGTCTTCAGTGAGGACTCAAGTCCACTTAGCTGAAGCTTGTATGGAAGCCTCTGTCCTTTGGGAGATGAGAGCTTTTCTGCTGAGGTCAGACCCTCAAGTGGGTGGGGAGCCTCCAAAGGCCTCTGAGGCCACCTCAGCCAAGCTCCTGCCAGGTGAGGACTCAGGACCGAGCACCCCAGAGCTGATAAGGCCTCGTGGGCCAAGTGCACTCAGTGCTCGTGCTGACTGCAAAGAAATACACAGGCAGCTCCCCCCAGTTGCAACACCCAGCCCTCAGGTTGAGCAAGAACACCCTGAAGGAAGTGCTTGGATGGAGGCGTGAAGACGCATTGAAGATGGTAACGGACAGTCTCATGTCAGTGGCAGGGAAGGTGCTCTGGAGGGGAGCTTGGGCCTCATGTTTTCGGGATAAGCAGGAGTCTGTGGGAAAAGGGTTAAAGGAAGGGCGCTCTAGGCCAAGGCGCAGTGGGTCCAAGGGCACGGAGGAACTAGGAGATGGCCAGCTTGTCATTGTGGCCGAGCATTTAGACGGTGGAGGAGGGTGGATTCTGAATCGGAGGGCCCCATTTCTTTAGTTTGGCTTCTCTGCTGTGGGTCTCTCTCAGGGTGTGTCTGTCAGCCATCCGGATGTCCAGACACGAGGCAGTGGTGGTGACAGGACCCTAGGGACTGTCACGGAGGGGTGGGCTCGGGAGGGGGCTGGCAGGCAAGGCCAGGACAGATTCTGAAGGGACTTGTGTGCCCCCAGCCTGTGGGTCGTGGGAGCCACGGGAGGCTTTAGAGTGCAGCAGTGGTGTGGTCAGAATCTTATGCGGGAGACTCCTGGTTGTCTTGAGAGGTGAGACAAAGCCAGGGGACCAGGGGATGGTGAGGGTCTGGGAAGTGAACTTGACCCTTCATTCTCATGCTCTCATGTACCCAGCGGGTCAGCCCTGGCCCCGTGAGGTGTTGGATTTGGGTTTACCAGGTCCGGGAGCTTGGGTCCTGCCTCTTCCAGCCCCAGGACCAGACTGGAGGCGGCTAATGGCGTGGGCACCACGGTGTCTCCCGTGCCCATCAGACACTTTTATTTTTCAGGACCTCCTCTGTCAAAGACAGAAGCTTCGTGGAAAAGATGAAGAAGACGGTGAGTTCTCTCTCTCTCTCTGCTCGGCCCTGGTGGGCAGGTGGGGATGTCCAGCAGAAGGCCAGCTTCGCTGGACAGGAGGAGAGAGGGCGGGTGGGAACTGGACTCAGTTCCCACATGTATACATTCCAATCTAACCAGAGCCTTGAGGCTGCTCTGCCGTTGCCAGGACAGTTTACTCTGTTTGTTCAATGTTTACTTCTTGAACAAACCAAACTGTAGGAACAGACCCTCCCTCTGACTCAGATGCCGCCCGTCTCCTTCCTCCCAGACCAGGCTGTGTCCACGAGCAGATGTCCACCTCACATGGCTGTGGTCCTAGCGCAGCTACAGTCCTCTCTCTTTGTTTTTGTTTATTTAAGTATCAAATTTTATGACATGGTACTTCATTCATGTGGTTAAATCCAAAACACAAACTGTTCAGGTGGAAAGCTCCTCTCCTGTCCCTGTCACCCATCACCGTTCTTAGAATTTCTTTCTGTGCATGTAATGAAAACAAATAGACTTTTATTTTTTATTTTTTAAACACAAAAGGTGGCATATTACATATACTGCTATAGACCTTATTTTTTTTTCTCACTTAATGATACGTCTTGGAGATTGCCTCAAAGCAGTTCAGAGATGCCTCCCTCATCCTTTATTATAATTGCATAATGACTCCACTCGTGGCCACAAGTACTGTAATTTGCTTTAACACTGCCTTGTTGATGGGCATTTGGAATATTGCTTATCTTTAGCTCTTCCTTTGTGGCTTCCCTTGTGGCTCAGCGGGAGACCTGGGTTCAATCCCTGGGTTGGGAAGATCCCCTGGAGAAGGGAAAGGCTACCTACTCCAGTATCCTGGCCTGGAGAATTCCACGGACGGTATAGTCCATGGGGTCGCCAAGAGTCGGACACGACAGAATGACTTTCATTTAGCTCTTACAGAGAGAGCCCCTGTGACTACGTAGATCAGTTTGCAAATACTGTACAGTCCCAGATATGGAACTGTTGAATCAAAAGGTACATGTGTTTGTGATAGAAGCTGCCAAATTGTACCCCACCCCACAGGGGTCACATGAGGGCAGTCACTAGCAGGGTGTGAGAAAATCTATTCCCCCACAGCTTTGCCAACAGAGTCTACTATCAGAGTTTGGGATTTTGCCCATTTTCTAGTTTAAAAAGAAAGATTTATCTCTCTAGTTCTAATTTGCATTTTTTCTATGAATGAGTTAAAGCAAATTCTCATGTTATGGGATGGCTTTTCTTTTTTCTTTTTTAATAGATTCTCTGTTCAGCTCTTTTGCTCACTTTTTCTGTTGGGATTGATCTTTCTCAAGAAATTCTTTAGAATTATTAGGGAAGTTAACACTTATCTGTGATATGACTTAAAAATATTTTTCCCAGTTGATAGTTCGTGTGTCATTCAGCTTACTGTGTGTTTGTTTTGCCATGTAAAAATTCCATAGTCCGTTTTACTTTTCTTTCTATGACTACTGGACTTTGAGTCATCATTTGGAAGGCTTCCCCACTCTAAAGAGATAAAACAATTCTTCCATGTTTTCTCTTGTATCTTTATGATTTCTGTTTTCCATATTTTAAATTCAGTCTGTTGGGAATTTATCCTGGTGTAAGATGTAAGGTTTGGGTCCAACACGTTTTTACTTAGCTGTATAAATTCCATGTAATAAAGTCCATCTTTTCCCTACTAGTTTGGTCATAAATGTAATTCTCATTGGTATTTGAGTCTATTTCTACATTTTCCTATTCTGATACTTTGATCCAGCTGTCTGTGTATAAACAGTATCATACTGTTTAGTTATTATAACTTGTTTTAATATCTGTAGCACTAAGCACTTCCTCCCTCTCCCCATCACTCTTATTTTTCACTTTTCCTAGCTGTTACCTCATCTGTATTCACTTATTTTGGGTAACAGTTTTAATGGGATTTAATTCATATCCCATACAGTTCTCCAGTTTAAAGCTTACACACCAGTGATTTTTTTGTATTCTCAGTTGCACAAACCACCACCACAGTCAATTTTAGGACATTTTCATCTTCCCCAAAAGAAACTTTATTAGTAGTCACTCCCAGTTTCCCCACCCTGAGCCCTAGGCAACTGTTCATCTACTTGTTGTCTCTATAGAGTCGCCTCTCCTAGACATTTCATGTAAATGGAATCATACACTACATGGCCTTTGGTGGCATCTTTTACTTAGTATAATGTCTTCAGGGTTCATCTGTGCTCTAGCAAGTGCCAGCACTTCTTTCCTTTCTGCTGCCAAATGGTGTACCAGCACTTACTTTTACAAGATTTTTTTAGGATCATGTTGTTGAAGGAAAAAAAGAGCTGTTGCGGTTTTTATTAGGACTGTGTTATTTCTGTATTACAGAGGGAAGACCGGCATCCTGCATGTTGAGTCTCTCTGTGCAGAACCAGAGGGTCTTTCCATTCGGTTGGGCCCTTTGTCACTCAGTTGTTATTCTTGTTTAGTCGCTAAGTCATACCTGACTTTTCTGCGACCCCATGAACTGTAGCCCACCAGGCTGTCTGTCCATGGGATTTCCCAGGCAAGAATACTGGAGTGGGTAGACATTCCCTTCTCCAGCGGGATCCTCCTGACCCAGGGATCAAACCTGAGCCTCCTGCAGCTTCTGTATTGGCAGGCGGATTCTTTACCACTGAGCCACCTGGGAAGCCCCTTGTCACTCAGTAGCTTCTTACGTGTTTCTGGTTTGGCTTATTTCTAAGGTTCTTTATATATTTTGATGCTACTATAACTACCATAGCTACTGTTTTACATCATGTTTCCTTTCCTTGATATCATAAGCATCATTTTAAAATACCTTTGTAAATGATTTTGAAATGATTTGTAGAAAATTCAGGAAATGAAAAAGGTATGAGAACAACATACAGCAGTTGTAATCCCTATAACTACATTTTATTTTATCATCTGCACCTGTCAGTCAGGGCTCCATGCCAGACCAGACACCCCTCTAGGCAGTTTGGGCGCTGGAAGGTCTGCTGCTGAGGTCTGCAGAAAGGGACCAACCGGAAGGTGGCCTGTGCCTCGCTTCCGGATGTTGCAGAGCGCATCCTGTTGGCTGGACCAGTTTGCTGCATCCCTGACTGCAGGGAGTCTAGGGGATGGAGTTGGGCTTTTCCAGAGCTGCTGCGGAGGGTGCCGTGGGAGGAGGGCGGAGTCAGAGCCTGTGAGCCAGTCTAGATGTGGTACCTCTCCCCACTGTCTAGGTTTTTATAAAGCATGTGTTATTACTTTTACAAACATCCAGGAAAACTCACCCATATTTTCCCACTTAGAGACTCTTGGTATATTTCATGCTGTTCTTTTTCCTTTCTGCGTGAATGTGTATAAGCTGTGCACACAGGTCGGGTGGGTATGTAACAAAATTGGATTATGCTATACATAGTCTTTGGTCACTTTTTTTTTTCTTTACGGAACGTTATTTCTGCTTTTTTCAAGTGTCATTTAAAGATGTGTCCACAGTGTGACTTTGAGCAGCTGTGTGTGTTGGGTTACCTTGATGGCTTCAGCCGGAGCTGGCTGAGTGGCCTCTGACCCCACCCGCCGCAGTGGCTGTGGTAATGAGATGCTGGCCCGAGGGTGACTCAGAAAGGACCTTAAAGAGGAAAGAAAGAGGGTGCCCTTAGGGACCTGCCTGCCCCTATGGTCACCTTGAGTCTCCGGTGAAGCCTGTGGCTCTTGGCCCCTTGCTGACCCCGTGTGTCCGGCCATCCCTAGGGCAGGAACATCATCGTGTTCTACGGCTCCCAGACGGGGACTGCTGAGGAGTTTGCCAACCGCCTGTCTAAGGACGCCCACCGCTATGGGATGCGGGGCATGGCAGCTGACCCCGAGGAGTACGACCTGGTGAGTGCTCGCCGCGCCCTGACCCCTTCCTCCCAGGCAGTGCAGTTCCAGGGTGTGAAGGCAGGCGTGTCTGCGTCGTGGAGACACAGGGGCGGAGTTAGGCAAAGGCACAGGCAGGATTGGGCATCTCTTGTCGTTTGTCCCGGCAGCCAGGTGGCCTCTGGACATGGAGAACACCTGGCCCAGGTGCGTGCATGTGCGCTCCCTTCCCCGCTCTCCATGCTGCAGGCTGTACAGGCGCTGGGCAGGTGCCCCCAGAAGGGGTGGATTGGGTGTGGCCTAAAAGAGGACAGGGTCTCAGCAGGTCAGGAGAGGAGCTGTCTCTCATGTTCCCTCAACCCCACTCCTAGACTGCAGTGGCAGGGGAGCTGGACTGTAGCTCACTCCCTCAACCGCCTGGGTGACCTGGCCTCACTGGGGGCCTCATCTGCAGGGACGGGATGAGGGTGGTGGGCGAGCCATCTCTGGGAACCCGGCAGCTCAGCTTTGCATGGAGGCTGTAACCTTGTGTGTCTGGGCTTGGGGAGGGCCCAGGAGAGCCCGGACACTGAGGGAAAAGCCCCCATTTGGGGCTACAGGATCCTTCCTCCCCCGTCTCCTCCTCCAGCTGTCCTCGGCACGTGACTCCTTCAGGCCCACACAGCGCTGTCTGCAGGACAGTCCCCACCTCCTGGCCCCAGCCACACACAGCCCGTCTCTGAGGCTGTGGGGGCCAGCTCACCTTGCTCACTGTCTTCCCGGCACTGGCTCCTTTGCCAGTCGTAGCTCTCCAAAGTGCAGGAAACTTCCAGCAGTCTGCTCGCCTGTCTCTGAGACAGCCAGGCCAGCGGCCCCCTGGGGACACAGTAGGCAGAGAGGGGGCAGTGGTCCTTAGGCCCCAGGAGAGGCAGGGCTGACAGAGCAGCTCGTCCTGGGAAGACACCCCAAGGAGCACCCTCCTGCATCTCCCCCGCAGGGTCATTGCCAGTCATCACGTGGGCTGTTGCCGCTCCAACGTGATGAATGAACTTCCCCTGAGAACCCTGTCTTCTGAGTGCCAGCTGCTTCCCACCTGTGCCCCTCCTTCACCCAAACCAAACCAGCCCCCACCTACCCCCCCACACACACATCCTTTGGTCTTGGGGATGGCCCACTCTCCCTCTGTCTTAGGACCCGGGTTTCAAGTTGGCAGACAGTTGGTTAGGAATCCCATGAACTCAGGCGCCCCGGGACTCTGTAGGGTGCTCCAGAGGTGGCACCGTGTTCCGAGTGCCCACTCCTGGCCTGGAACCCGCTGCTGCTGTCCACACCCAGGCCTCACCGTGTTCTCCTGGGCTTGCTGCCCCTTTGCTCTTGAGATGCACTCTGTCCACCAGCCCAGGACTCACCCGACTGCACTTGGGAGCCGGCTTAGTCACGGTCACTTGGCCCTGCCTCTGTCCCCCCAGGCCGACCTGAGCAGCCTGCCAGAGGTTGAGAAGGCCCTGGCCGTGTTCTGCATGGCCACCTACGGTGAGGGGGACCCCACCGACAACGCCCAGGACTTCTATGACTGGCTGCAGGAGACGGACACGGACCTTTCTGGGGTCAAGTACGCGGTGAGTCACCCGGGTGGGCACGTGCGACCTCCAGAAGCTTGTGTCCTGGAGGACACCTCCAGTTCTCACCTCGACCGGCTGAGCCCGGGCCTGGCAGGGAGCTCGTAGGCGGGAATCCCGGGAAGAGCTCACGGGTAATCCTCTCTTCCGCCCGGCCCAGCACTAAGAGCCCCGTTCCCGTGTCCCAGCCCCGTCGTGCCCGGGGCATCAGCCTTTAGAGACAAAAGGCAGGAAAGGAGTGGGATGACCAGGATTCGGCCGGGCAAGGGAGCGGGTGGGGCGGACACCCTGCCACTGCCAGGGTCCAGGCCGAGGTGGCCGCGGGGGAGCCCAAGCTGTGGGTCCATGAAACAGAGCCACTCCGGGGCCTGGCCGGAGGTACGAGGTGTCTGGCCAGACCCGCCGACCCTGGCCCCTCACACACACAGGTGTTTGCCCTTGGGAACAAGACCTACGAGCACTTCAACGCCATGGGCAAGTACGTGGATAAGCGGCTGGAACAGCTCGGCGCCCAGCGGATCTTTGATCTGGGGCTGGGCGACGACGATGGGAAGTGAGTCCCCCCACCCCAAGCCACCCCCAGCACCCCCCGGGCTGTCGAGTGTCGGGAGCCCCAGGTTCAGGCTGGCCGGGGCCCAGGAGGGCAGGGCAGAGCCGTGGTGTCGGCTCACCCCTGTGACCTGCCTCACCACGGGGGACCACCAGGCCTGCCTTCTTTGCTTGTCCACACCCTCCCGGCTCACCCAGCTCAGACAGGGCTTCCTGTGGTTACTGCAGACCGTCTGGATGCTTCCTGCTACTCTGGGTTACATCACTGGGCGGGCTGGTGTGAAATGAACCCTCGAGCTTGGAGGGGGAGCCAGGGGACAGAGGGTCCAAGCTGGCCTGGCAGCCCCCTTTGGCCCCGGGCTCATCCCCTCTGGTCCGCAGCCTGGAGGAGGACTTCATCACGTGGCGAGAGCAGTTCTGGCCGGCCGTGTGCGAGCACTTCGGGGTGGAAGCTACGGGAGAGGAGTCCAGGTGAGTGCGTGCACCTGGGACCGTGGGTGGGGAACCAGCCCGGTGGGTGCAGTGGGGCTGGGGGAGGCTCAGTCAGGGTGTGGAAGGGGCCCCGGGCCCAGGTGCTTGGGCTGTGCCCACACACGAGGGTCAGGGTGGGCTTCCCGACCTCCTCAGGGCTGCTGGCCCGGCTGCCCCGCCTCTCCTGCCTGCCCTGCACTCACGCATCTCCTTCCTTGTGGGTCACACCTGGCCCTGCGTCGCCCAGGCGTGCCCCATGGCCTCGCAGCCTCGCTCCCTCCTGGGGACTCTCCCCTAGCCTCCTGCCTCTCCCAGCCCTCGGCCTCACCCTGGGTCTGCTGCTTCCAGCATCCGTCAGTACGAACTTGTGGTCCACACGGACATGGACCTGGCCAAGGTGTACACAGGCGAGATGGGCCGCCTGAAGAGCTACGAGAACCAGAAACCGTGAGTACAGAGCCAGGCCGGCCAGGGCTGGCCGCGCGTGTCTCCGCAGGCCTTTCCTGCCAGGCCCCGTCCCGTGGGCTTCCTCATCCCCCCATCTGGGAGGGGCCCTGGCTGGGGCCACCCACACGTCCGTTTCCACCCAGAGGAGGGCACGAAGCCCGGAGCAGAGAGACGGGGGGCTGCTCCGAGCCCAGGGTCCTGCGGACCCCTCCCTTCTTGGTGGTCCTTTGGTCCAGAGCGTGGCCTTGGAGAGACTGGCACTTGCTCAGTTTGTACTTCATTTGCCCATTAAATAGGCCCACCGCTTCCTGGACCAGGACGTAGCAAGTTTAGCCCTGGGTCTAGGCTGAGCCTTGGCCAAAGGGCTCGCTTCCTTCAAATCTGCCTCCGTGTTTGGACTTTTTTGTCCAAAGTGTTCTTCTTGGGGGCCCCTCATTTGCACCTGGGCCCACCCAGACTCTTGCTGGAGCCGCCCAGGAAGGTCCTCCTTGACCCTCCAGCAGCCCCACTCTAGGCAGCCACTGAGGTTGCAGCCGACAGCCCGTTGCAGTGACTTCCCAGGGGGAAAGCCTGGCTCCTGCCACGCTCAGTCCCGGGCCGTCACTCACCCAGGCCCTTGCTCCGTCTTACGGAACCACCTTCTTGGGCCAGGCTCTCCTTGTGCTCTACCCACCAGTGGGTACCAGGGGCGGAGGCTCCCCCAGGTTTCAGACCAGCCCCAGTGTCTGTGTCTGTAGACAGGGACACTGATAACCCAGCTCTGCCCCCTTGGGAGTGCCGGGAGCACCGCCTTGGGGGGAGCTAGAAAAGCCCTGTACCTCATTGGAGAGGTTTCTTCCTGACCCAGGAGGGCAGCTTTGAGGTTCCCATGTTCTGTGTGGTCAGAAGGGTCCTTGTGGGTGCGGAGATTCAGACCGGAGGCCTGGCTCACTGCACTGCTCTCCACACCCAGCCCCTTCGACGCCAAGAACCCATTCCTGGCTGTCGTCACCACCAACCGGAAGCTGAACCAGGGAACCGAGCGACACCTCATGCACCTGGAATTAGACATCTCGGACTCCAAAATCAGGTACCAGCTGCTGCCACCCCCCTCCCCAAACCTTCCACCCAGGCCTCCTGTTCCCGCACAGACCTGCCCTCCACCCTCCCCCTGAGCCTTGCATCACCCCCAGGTATGAGTCCGGGGACCACGTGGCTGTTTATCCGGCTAATGACTCTGCCGTGGTGAACCAGCTTGGCGAGATCCTGGGTGCCGACCTGGATGTCATCATGTCCCTGAACAATCTTGACGGTGAGTCCTGGGTGCCAGGCCTCCCCCTACCTGGGCCTGAGGGCGCTGGTGGGAATGGGCCCCCTGACAAGGCCCAGAGGTTGAGTTTCTTCTTAGACCTAAAGCCTGGTGTCCTGGAAGCCCTCATACCCAAGACACGAGGGGCAAGTTGCAGAGCAAACCAGGAGGCAGGGGGAGAAGGCAGCTGTAGGTCTGGCAGGCCCCCTTTTGGGGCTCCCCACCCCCTTGCTGCCATACTCCCTTGAGGGAACGGGGGCCCAAAGACAGAGCCAGGGCCGGCTGCCCGCGCAGCCCCGTGTCCTGTGGGGAAGAGCGCCACAGCCAGTGGCCGGAGGCCCCTCCAGCTCCAGGGGCCCGCGGCAGCAATCCTGACAAGACTCTAGGTCCACTGAGGGTGCTCAGCCTGCACCCTGCCGAGGGCAAGGCTGCCCCGCCTGAGCCTCTGACTGCGACCTCCAGCGCCCTGCAATGTCCACTGACCTGGGGCGCAGCTCGGCCTGGCCCTGCCTGCTCGCTCGCCCGTGTCCTCAGTGACCCGAGCCTGGGCTGCTCCTCCGCACCTCTCAAGGTTCCAGAGTCGGCCTTGAGAGGACAGGAGAGGGGCTGATCCGCACCGGAATTCCTCGTGCTGGCCGGGGACCTGGTGGCCCGTGGACTACGGACCGGTCTTCCTCTCACTAGGGGGGCGGTGGTGGGGGTTGGAGGCCTTGTGCCTCTGGAGCACACCTTTCTGGGGTGGGGGTTGTCGGTGCTCACTTCCTCCCAGGAGTGCCTGAGCCCCTATGGTGGGGGCCCTTCTCTGCCAAGGGCTGCTCTGAGGAGGCTCAGAACGCGAGGCAGAAGTGGGACTTCAGAAGGAGCACCCACACCTGCCCCGTGGTGCAAGGCCTGAGCCCCGGCTTCTGAGCCCACACAAGAGGGTGCCTGGGCGCGGCCTGCTGCTTGATGTGGGCGCTGGGTACACAAGGACGTTCAGTTCACGAAAGTCCATCAGGCACTGCTCACGTGACTTGTACATCCTATGTAGGTCGTGCTTCAGTAAGTTCAACCCTTCCCCCAAAGCTAGGCCCACAGCCCTGCAGGCTGAGCCGTCCTGGGCCAGGCCCTCTCCTCTCTGGGTGGCTTGCCAGCCTTGTGCTTCTCTGGGGCTCGTTGGTGCACAGGAGCCAACACCCGTGCGGTCGTGCCTCTAGGAGGTGGAGTCACTCCGGGGTCCAGCCCTGCTCTGGCCTGGCCGTGGGGAGGTGTCAGTAAGGCCGGTCTGTTGACTGTGGCAGTGGAAGCCCCTCGGCAAGGGCTGGCGGAGCGCCTGAGTGTACAAGATGCCGCCCCAAACGCTTGGCATGTGGGCGCCCCATGCACCGACCTCCACTTGTGTCCAAGAATAAAACCTGAGCTGGAGGGGGCCTGTCATCACAGCCGAAGGCCCAGTATTGGCATCTCACTGTCAGAGCCTGGCATCCCCACAGTGGACCAGGTCCAGGCCGCAGGCAGGCAGGCCGGCCCCACCGGGGGGCTCCCCCTCGGCTACCCTGTCTGAGCAGTGACTGTCCTGGATGGGGACGGTGACAGGCCGCCCCCAGCAGCGTCCTGCCTCTGATGAGACTGCCTATCCAGTAGCCAAAAGCCTCAAGCCTTGCCCCAAAGCCAAGGAAGACCCCAAGAGAGCTGGCCTTGCTTCCCGCCCACCGAGCCTTGGCCCACCCCTTCCCTGTGGCAGCCCACCCGCCCCGGGGGGCCCCTCACCCTGAACCCTGCCTCTCCTTGCAGAGGAGTCCAACAAGAAGCACCCCTTCCCCTGCCCCACCTCCTACCGCACGGCGCTCACCTACTACCTGGACATCACCAACCCGCCGCGCACCAACGTGCTCTACGAGCTGGCCCAGTACGCCTCGGAGCCCACCGAGCAGGAGCAGCTGCGCAAGATGGCCTCTTCGTCGGGCGAGGGCAAGGTGGGCCTGCCCCTGGCACCCCAGCGCCAGCCCCCCGGCCCAGCCATTCCCCGAGCTGCCTGGGCCCCGGGGCCCCTCGCCGTCTCACCCACGTCTGTGTCCCCCAGGAGCTGTACCTGAGGTGGGTGCTGGAGGCTCGGCGGCACATCCTGGCCATCCTGCAGGACTACCCGTCCCTGCGGCCCCCCATCGACCACCTGTGCGAGCTGCTGCCTCGTCTGCAGGCCCGCTACTACTCCATCGCCTCGTCCTCCAAGGTGGGGGCTCCGGGCCCGCCCCCATAGAGAAGACAGTGTTGGCTCCTCAGAGAGCCTGGGGTTTCTGGGCCGCAGCCTCAGCTCTGCCCCATGTCCATGGGCACTTTGCTCAAGACTCCCGGGATGTTGTATCCAGAAGGCTGGACCGTAAGAGCGCACCCTGCCCTCTGGCCCTGGTGCCAAGAGCCAGTCAGGCCGGCTGCCAGGAAGGGGCCTTGAGCAGGGACCCCGTGATGGGGTGGGTGGCAGGAGGGAAGGGGCCTCGGGCACCGCCACGCTCACCCCTGTGCACCCCCAGGTGCACCCCAACTCCGTGCACATCTGCGCTGTGGTCGTGGAGTACGAAACCAAGACGAGCCGCATCAACAAGGGCGTGGCCACCAGCTGGCTGCGGGCCAAGGAGCCAGCCCGGGAGAACGGCGGCAGGGCCCTGGTGCCCATGTTCGTGCGCAAGTCCCAGTTCCGCCTGCCCTTCAAGCCCACCACGCCCGTCGTCATGGTGGGCCCCGGCACCGGCGTTGCCCCCTTCATAGGCTTCATCCAGGAGCGGGCCTGGTTGAGGCAGCAGGGTGAGTGTGAGGGCGGGCAGGCTCCAGCTCCAGGCAGGGGGCCGGGCCTGGGGCTCCTCGCTCACCCCGGCTGCCCCTGCCCCAGGCAAGGAGGTGGGCGAGACGCTGCTCTATTACGGCTGCCGGCGCTCTGACGAGGACTACCTGTACCGTGAGGAGCTGGCCGGCTTCCACAAGGACGGCACCCTCACCCAGCTCAACGTAGCCTTCTCCCGCGAGCAGCCCCAGAAGGTGAGGCCTGGGACAGGCCCCAGGGGTGGGGGCTATGCAGAGTGCGATGGGCCTTCCTCACAGGCACCCCCACCCCCAGGTCTACGTGCAGCACTTACTCAAGAAGGACAAGGAGCACCTGTGGAAACTCATCCATGAGGGGGGCGCCCACATCTATGTGTGTGGGTGAGTGGCGGGGGTGAGGGGGCAGGGGGGGGGGTGAGGGGGCGGGGGGGTGAGGGGGGCAGAGGGGTGGTGGGTGGGGCAGAGGGGGGTACAGGGGGGGTGAGGGGGCAGAGGTAGGGGTGAGGGGGCAGTGGTAGGGGTGAGGGGCAGAGGAGGGGTGAGTGGGGCACAGGAGGGGTGAGGGGGCGGGGGGGTGAGGGGGGTACGGGGGGGTGAGGGGGGCACAGGAGGGGTGAGGGGGCAGAGGTAGGGGTGAGGGGGCGGGGGGGTGAGGGGGGTACGGGGGGGTGAGGGGGGCACAGGAGGGGTGAGGGGGCAGAGGTAGGGGTGAGGGGGCAGTGGTAGGGGTGAGGGGCAGAGGAGGGGTGAGTGGGGCAGAGGTAGGGGTGAGTGGGGGCAGAGGAGGGGCAGAGGGGGGTGAGTGGGGCAGAGGCAGGGTGGGGGGGGTGAGTGGGACAGAAGAGGGGTGAGGGGGCAGAGGGGGGCAGAGGAGGGGAAGAGGGGGCAGAGGAGGGGATGAGGAGGGCTGAGGAGGGGCGGGGGGCTGTCCTGCCCGTGGAGGGGCCCTCCCCCAGTGCCACCTCCTCCCTGTGCGCAGGGACGCTCGGAACATGGCAAGGGACGTGCAGAACACCTTCTACGACATTGTGGCAGAGCAAGGTGCCATGGAGCACGCCCAGGCTGTGGACTACGTCAAGAAGCTGATGACCAAGGGCCGCTACTCCATGGATGTGTGGAGCTAGGCTGCCCGCCCTGCTCCGCTGCTCGCGCCCTACAGACTTGCCTCCCCATCATGTAATCACGCGCCTCACTCCCTTCTGTGGTCTCCTGGGTGGCTCTGCCGGGTGCTTACCTGCCCCGGAGGCAGGCCCAGGACAGAGGCTGCTCCCGCGGGACCTGCACCCTCCGGCCATCAGCCTGGGGGCGCAGCCGAGGGTGACAGGCCGTGATGTGAACACCTCTGGGCCCTCGGTGGCTGAACACAGAGGTCCGCCTCTCAGCTGAGTGAGGCCTGGCCCCTCCCTGTGATTTTCAATGAGTGTAAATAATTTTAAATAACCTCTGGCCCTTGGAATAAAGTTGTTTTCTGTATTTGCTGGGTAGTGCTTACACAGACCTGAGGCCTCCATCTGGGTCTCCTGAACTCAGACCCCAGAGACACCTCGGGAGCCCCCAGGCCCCGTGCGGTGGCGGCACAGGCCCCCCCAGGCCCGTCTCACCCGCAGGAGCACACACGCCGAGGCTCTCGGAGCCTTTTCCTTTATTCAGGCCACAGGCGCCCAGCTCCCACGGGGCGGGGACACAGGCCCAGGTCCTCCTCTCCAGCAACGCCATCAGGGCCCACAGAGCCCACAAAACCCAGGGGAGGGCAGACGAGACCCTCCCAGACACGGGGAGCCCCCACCCCCTCCACACAGAGGTTCAGAAGCCCCTTCCAGGCCGGGGGTGCCGTCGGGCAGGGAGGGCCCAGCCTCATTCTTTCTTGCTCCCATGCAGCTGGTTGTGGAATTTCTGGTGCACGACCCGCAGGGTGGTGAAGAAATTGCCAAGGAAGAGGAGGAGGAAGGGGAAGCCGCACATGAGCACCTGGAGGAGCAAGCGGGGTCAGGACGGAGGCCAGGCCGGCCCTCCCGACGGCCTCTCCAGGCGGGGGCCCGGCTCACCTGCCACTCCTTGCACTCGGGGTCCCGGGCCAGGTTGAACAACGTCAGTGCATTAAAAAGCTGCCAGAACTGGGAGGGAGCGGGCTCTTACACACGGTCCCTGCTCGAGACAGCCAGGTGGACGGGGGGGCTCGGGTACAACTTACGTGTCCGAAGAAGAGGAAGGGCAGCAGGAACGTGAGGCCCCGCCACATCCAGGACTGGAAGCCTTCTGCAGGGGCACAGCGGGCAGAGGACCCGTCACTCAGACCCCGGGCCAGAGGCAAGGACAGGCCCTCCCGGCTCCCTCAGGACTGCAGGGCGGGGCGGCCTCGCCCGACTCACCCACAGTGAGGTCCATGGTGTGCCGCTCGCCCAGGGCCCGCAGGCGGTACAGACAGCCGCTCTGGTAGTAATACTGGAGGAACTGCACAAAACCTGGCGGGGTCGGGGGCATCAGGACGGGGCTGGAGTCCCACGTCCCTGCCCGCCCTTCCCTGGGGGGCGAGCCCTAAGCAGAGCAGGGACCTTGGAGACACTCACTCTGGTACATGGAGAAGGACAGGAACTGGTTCCGGAACTTCTGGTACATGAGCCCGTCGGGCCTGAGAGCAGAGAGCAGAGAGCAGAGGGTGGGGTGGGCGCTTAGGGATGCCCCCCCTTCTCCCTGCCCCTTGCTCCCCCGGAGGCCCTGGGACCAAGCCGACCCGCTCACCATGTCAGCATGACTCCCGACAGGAACGTGGACACATAGTGATGGAAGACCCACCAGCCTTTGATCCTGCGTCAGGAAGCCACCGTCACCCCTGTCTTCTCAGCCCCAGGATCAGGGCTTGGGGGGCAGGAAGTGGGGCTGCAGTGGGAAGGAGCCACTACCCACCCTGCTTCTCAGAGGGCCATGGCACCCCCCCTGCCCCCCACTTTGAAGGGCAGCTCCAGGGGTGCTCCGCGCCCCCCCCCCACCCTGGGGGCTGGGCCCCACCCTCACCCACCTGGAGCCATTGTTAATGAGGATGCTTTCACGGATGGTCAGGGTGCAGTAATACCACACCAGCAGAAAGTTGAAGGCAGCGTCTGTCACCCTGCAGGGAGGGGTGCAGAGGGTGGATGCTGGCACCTGGAGAGGGTCCAGGGGGCCAGCCCCCACCCCTCACTGGACACCCACCTGGAGTTGAGGAGGAAGCGGCAGGTGAAGGAGATGAGAATGAGGATGATGGTGAGGTAGAGCTTGAACTTCTCGTACTCGTCTTTGTAGGCAAACCTGGGGGGACACACTCGTGGAACAGGCTGGGGTGCTGGTGGGGCCCACCCAGGCCTCCCGACAGGCTGCTTGTGGTGCCATTGGGCAGCGGCCCCCGAGCCCCAGGCTCAGCCAGGGAGGCTGGGGCAGGCTGGGAGGGACCCAGGGGCGGGAGGTAGGGGGCGGGGAGGAGCCTGGTGACCACAAATTACTTAGCCTGCTTGCTCAGGAGTGTCACGTTGACGTTGCCCAGGACCAGGCTCAGATACAACCTGGGGGAGGAGAGGTAGCCTTCAGCCCCAAGCCCACTGCAGCCACCCACACCCGTGACCGCACTGCGACCTCCTGCCAACCCCGAAGGGTGCCATCACCCACCCCATCCAAGCTCCTCTCGTCTGAGAGTCACAGCCCTGTACCAAGAGGCGGCACCCATATGGGCTCCTTGCATGTTCACACGCAAGCCCTAGGCCGGGGCTCACAGCGGTTCAGAGACCGGCCTGAGGCCACGGAGAGGCTACAGGGCACAGCATGGGACCAGAGGCCAGGCTGCCTCTCCGCCTTGCCTCGAGCTCCTCCCTCTCCCATTCCCAGGGGCGGCCCTCCCCCAAACCCTCCACCCTGTCACCTTCAGGCAGGTGACATCTTCCCTGCTGCCTCCCCACCCTCCTCTCTGCACACCCCTCCTCCCAGACCACCCCTTCCCACCGCCCCAGGGACTTCCCTCCACTGTGTACTGAACCTCCCTGCGGTCTCACCCTCCACGGGCCCCACCTCTCAGCAGGCAGAGATGCTCAAGTCCTTCCTATGTACAAACTCACACACACAAACAGAAGCGACTCCTCAACCCTCACGATGAGCTCTAGTTGCTAGTTTCCAGGCAACTAGTTTCTCCTTCCACTCACCTCCAAGCTTCGGAAGCGTGGCCTGAACCTGGCTGTCTCCTCGGCTCTTCTGTCATCCCCAATATCACCTTTCCAGCCCCACCCTCCTGGAAGCGGTTCTCTCCAAGGTCACCCGGACTTCCAGGAAACATTCCCCTTCCGTGTTACCTCTGACCACCCCCCCATGCTGCCCCCGGGGGCCATCTGATCTCAGGTTACGGGCCACTCCTTCCTCCCCTGCCTTCTGGGACATGCTTTCTCCCAGCTTTCTCACTGCCAGCTGTCTCTCTGCTGGATTGTTTTCCCAGAGCCCCGGGTTCTGCCACGTTCTCAGCTGTGACTGTGGCTGATCTAAGTGCATAATTGAGCTGTCGCTCTCTCCTGCCCACTGGGCCAGAGGGGAGCGCCGCAGGCTGGCTCCTGCTCTGGTCTCTCCACAACCTTTCACCTCCTACCCTGTGCCCTGGATGTGACACCTGCTGTTGCACCTCTCCAGGTCCAGCCGGCTCCCTCCTCTTTATCCTTCATGACGCAGCCCAGGCATCACCTACCCCAAGAGGCTTTCTCCGGCCTCCCAAGTGGTGAGGTACCCGTCTGTGCTCTCCCTGATTCTCGGCACATCCCGCACAAAGCACCCGTCATCACAGTGAGCGGGCACTGTCACTGAGGCTGTCCCTGAGGGAGGACCGGGTCTGACGGCTCAGCCCAGAGTGGGTCCAGGAAACCAGGCAGAGGGAGACGGGGCTGTGAACCGAGCTTGGAGGAGGGGCGTCTCACCCATTCTTCTTGGGCAAGTAGGCCTCCATATCGAAGAAAAGGCCCTGTCGCTCCTTGATCTGATTTTCCAGCTCCTGCGCGGCTTCCTCGGCCTCTGACGGGAGGGAGGGTTTGCATCTGCAGGTGGGGCCGCAGAAGCCAGAGTCAGAACACCCGACACCTGGCGGGCAGGAGAGCAGATGCAGCCCAGAGAGGGGAGAAGTGGTGCCCGGGGGCACCTGGGAGTCAGCACAAGCTCCCTACCCCACCAGGTCCAACACGCACCCCCGGTCCACGGCCAGGGGTGTGAGGAGGGAGGGCATGGGGGGGCCTGTGGGGGGGTGGGTCCTAACTTCTTCAGGACCAGGGCCAGCTCCTGGAGCCGTTTCTTCTGCCGAGTGATGGAGCTAGTACAGGTGTTCTGCAGCTTGGTCAGCTCCTCCAGCTTCAGGCGGTACAGCCGGTGGGTCTCCTGGGGACCAGGGAGGGGGAAGGCTCAGGCTGGCTAGGGGACCCCTAAGCCAGAGCCTGCTGGGAAGGGGGTGGGGCACAGACTCGCCCAGGGCTCCCCGGGAGCGTCTCAGCAGGAGAGGCGGCAGCCAGCTGAGCCAGCTGAGCCAGCCTCAGGAACGCCCCAAGGGTCCTCTCTCTCCAAGGCAGGCAAGGAGACAGGGCTCTTCCAGCAAGCCCAGGAGCCCCCCAGCACGTCGGCCCCAGAAACAGATGCATTCTCAGAAGCTTTTCTTAGTCTCAGCCTATCTACTAGCTGTTCCCACTCCTCTCTGCCCATCCTGAGTCTGCATTCCAAGCCCACAGGTCCACAGTCTGGACAAGCATGCGGCCTAAAGCCATCCCTGGCCTTCTCAGAGCCTCCGGTCCAGACAGCCTGCAAGGGCGAGGGGAGCTGAGGTTGTCCAATATGACTGCTGCTCTGGCACTCCCAGCATCTTCCTCCCAGGTTAAAGGTCACCAGGCTTCAGCCCTTGGACCTCTTGCTCTAAGACCATTCCTCTACCCTTCCCCCCAGCACCTTTGGCCCAGGGCTTCCCAGAGCACTTTGCCCCCTGGGGTGAGTCTCGAGAAGGAGCAGCCTGGAGATGGGGGGCAAGGGGCAGTGTGAGAAAGGTCAGGCAGGGGCTGAGGCCAGGACGGTGGTGCCCAGGCTCGGGAGCCTGGGTCTGCTCTGCTCAGGGCCCTGGGGAGAAGCACGAATGATAGCGGCTTGGCCAGGACAGGCCAGGGGGCAGTCAGGCTTAATGTGGACAGGAAAGGGCTGAAGCCAGTCCAAGAGAGGCAAAGGCCTGATCAAGTGCCCAGCTGGCCTGGGCTCTACCCTGGCTGGGGTTTGTTTCTCATGCTCAAGGAGGGGCCACCTCGGTCTACCCCCAGCCACACACTCCCCTGTCCGCCTGTCCACGGAAAAGCACAGCGGCCCATAGAAGCCAGATCCAGACAATACCGTCACCCCATTCCACCCTCGGCTTCCACTGGTCTCAGAGAGACTCCCACCCAAGGCCCATGAGGTCTCTTGGCAGGGCCCCGCCCACCCACTTTCCCCTCACTCTTTGCAGCAGCCACGTGGTCCTGTGTGGTTGGAAGCTGTCCTGCGCCCTGGACCGGCCTCGCCCCCATCCAGGGGCTTCACCTAAATCCCACTTACCCGGACCAAGGCCTGGCGGCCTCCCGTCCTGCTCCCCAGCCACACTCAGCCCAGACCGCGCGGCCCGAGGGAGGGGAAGGCCGGCCCGGCCAGCGCCCACGGCGCTTTTGCTCAGTGATTGACCCAAGACTGGCCCTGGTTAGCTCTGACTCTCCTGGGAGGGGACCAGGTCGGAGTCGGGGCCTCTTTCCGAGGTCTTCACGAGAGACCGGAGGTCTGCCCGGGTCAGTAGGGTCACTCCAGAGTCCCGGCGGCTGCGCAGGCGAAAGATACCACCGCCGGACATTGATTTGAGGCCGAAAGGAGGGTCCAACCGGGGACACCGGGACCCAGGGCCTCGCTGCCGTCAGGAGCAACACCAGGGTCCCCCACCCCTGACCCCGAGCTTTCCGCAGCCTGACCCGGGGCTACCCGACCCTTGACCCCGAGCCAGACAGACATGGCTCGGAACCAATGGGAGCCCGCCTTGGCGCTCACCTGGATGCCGTGGAAGTCCTGCTGCAGCTCCTCCCAGTCCCGTAGGCAGTCGCCCAGCGGGCCCGGAGGCGGGGGATGCATTGCGGCCGGGCCGCGGGCCGGAGGAGCCGAGAGTCGAGGACAGAACCGCAACCCCGGCCGGTCCGGGGCACCTCCGCCTCCGCCGCCTCCGCCCCCGTCCGCTTCCGGGCTCGCGCCGCCGCGACCACCAATGGGGAAAAGCCTGGGGCCGCTAGCCCGCTGGCCCCGCCCCCAGCCAGAGCCAATCCGGGGCCGGGACGGGGCTGGGGCGGGGCCACATGCTCCGCGAGCCGCTGGCCTGGCCGCTTCAGCGTGGAGGGCGGCGGCAGCCCCGCGCCGGGGCTCTACCCGGGATGCCAGTTGCGTGGTGCTGCCAGCAATGTCCCTGCCGGTCACGCCGGGAGTAAACCAAGGCCCAGGGAGGTGGCATTCTGCCTCAAACATCTGCCCCCTGGGGAAGCTGCTCTATGGCAGGGAGGCAATTCCGAGCCTCTTCTCTTGCTTAGATTTTTACGAGGGCCTCTTTATGTCTCCCTGTCTCCAAGTTCACCGGTACTGCCCCTTCACACAGACACCAGGCTACCCTGATTAAAACACAAAGCCAATCCCTACCGTGTCCCTGCTGAAAACTTGCCGGTGGCTCTGACCTGCTTACCGGGAGATGCCTAAGCCACAGATCTGCAGCCATCCCAGGCTCCGCTCCAGTTCTAGTGCTCACTAAAGCCTATACTGCCTGAAAAGCCCTTACCCCTGAGCAAAGAGCCACTGCTTGAGGGTGTAGGCTTCTGTTGGGGTGCGGGGAGGAGGGGGTGCGGGGGAGCTCCTCCATCCCTCTGTAGAGTCCTAGCAGGCGACATGGCGTTCACCTGTATGCCTCGGCCCTGTACAGGTGGTGGAAATGTTTGCTGAATGAATGTGGACAGACATGTTAAATGCTCCATCAGTCCCCTTGTCCCTTGACTCCAGGCTTTTTCGGTGGGTGCTGCCCTCACTTGGAATCTCATTTCTGAGGAAAACTCCCTTTAAGACCTGAGGAATTTCTAGAAACCCTGGCACGGGGTTGGAATGGAAACAGTGAGACTTTATTTTGGGGGGCTTCAAAATCACTGCAGATGGTGACTTCAGCTATGAAATTAAAATATGCTTGCTCCTTGGAAGAAAAGCTATGACAAACCTAGACAGCATATTAAAAAGTAGAGACATTACTTTACCGACAAAGGTCTGTCTAGTCAAAGCTATGGCTTTTCCAGTAGTCATGTATGGATGTGAGAACTGGACTATAAAGAAAGCTGAGCACCGAAAAATTGGTGGTTTTGAACTGTGGTGTTGGAAGACTCTTGAGAGTCCCCTGGACTACAGGGAGATCCAACCAGTCAGTCCTAAAGGAAATCAGTCCTGAATATCCATTGGAAGGACTGATGCTAAAGCTGAAACTCCAATATTTTGGCCACCTGATGTGAAGAACGGATTCATTTGAAAAGACCCTGATGCTGGGAAAGATTGAAGGCAGGAGGAGAAGGGAACAACAGAGGATGAGATGGTTGGATGGCATCACCGACTCAATGGACATGAGTTTGGGCAAGCTCCGGGAGTTGGTGATGGACAGAGAAACCTGGTGTGCTGCAGTCCATGGGGTCGCAAAGAGTTGGGCATGACTGAGTGACTGAACTGAACTGAACTGGCATGGGGGATGGGAGGGTGGGAATCTCTTCGTGGTGAACACAGCCAGGCAAAAATGAGTGGGGAGCAACAAAAGGAAAGATCCAGCCCACAAGCAATGGACCAGTGGGAGCATTGCGGAGAGATGGAGATGAGGCAAGGAGATGCCCTTGTGCCATGAGTCTCTCAAAGCTGTGAAGCCTGGCACCTGAGCCAAGGCTGGGCTTGGCATCTCTGGGGCTGGGGATCTCCTCCAGTGGGTGGGCATTTTAACACCCCCTGTGGAGCAACATAAGGCTGGGGGAAGACTTGGAGCTCCCCCGGGGGCAGCCTCCCAAAGGACCACGTTATGGGAGACAGGAGGGGCAGCTGCTCTGGCAGCCAGATGCTCCTCCCAAGGAAACCTTGGGAGTGCAGTGGGGGTGATCTGGACGCCCAAGGGATGGGTTCTTGCTGAGTCTGAACACCTTCTATGTGGCACCAATGAGGAACTCGGGAAGAACCACTGCAGGAGGCTGACACAAAGGTCCAGGCAACAAAGGCCTTCTCATTCCTCGGTTACACACCCTGGCTGACTACCCACAAAAAGCCCCCAAGTCAGGTTCTTCTGGCCCCATAGCTGGACCACAGAATCAGTAGGGTGGATTCTGGATGTCCGTGACAATGTCTCCGAGGACAACCTTCTCCCACTCTGACAGCTGAGCCACCAAAGCCCGATTTGGGCGCATGTTGTTTTTACACTTCTTGAGGTAGGCCCAGGACCTCTGTGAACCAAGGAGAGAAAAGTAGACTTCAGGGTTGGACCTGGGCCCCTTTCACCTTGAAGAGAGCCAGCTCAGGAGGAACAAGAGACACTTGCCCAGGGGCCAGCAGCACAGCTTAAGGGCAGGACAAAGAAACAGCAGCAGCCGGGGGTTAGACTAGGGCGTAAGGGTCAAGGGGCTGGCTCTGCCTTGGGCAAGCCCATCTGCACCTCTGCTACTGAATGCAGAGACAGAAGTCACTCTTCTGTCAGATGGCTCCACGAAGGCTGAGAAAACATGTGAAGCCTACTGTGGACGAGGAAGCACCATGCCCATGCCTGCCACCCAGTGCTGCCTCAAAAAGATTTGCACTGGATTTCCCTGGTGGTCCCGTGGTTAAGAATCCTCCTGTCAAGGCAAGGGACATGGGTTTGACCTGTGGTCACAGAAGATTCCACATGCCTCAAAGCACCAAAGCCGGTGCACCATAGCTCCTGAAGCCTGCATGCCCTAGAGCCCCTCTGCAGCAACACAAGAAGCCCCTGCAGTGAGAAGCCCACCCATGCACCACAACCAAGAGTAAGCCCCACTCGCCGCACATAGAGAAAGCCCTCAGGTAGCAACAAAGATCCAGCACAGCCCAAAAGGATATAAATAAATAAAAACAAAGGTTTGCATCCGAAGTGGGTAAATTATGGAAAGAAGAAGAGAACTTGGGCAAATTCTCTGAAGAAGGAAAACTGAAGCTGCCTTCATTCAAGTGCCCATCCCAAAATACAGGAAAGGTTATCTCATGAAGGAAGGTCATCAGCTGGTCTCCATCTGATGGAGGAAAAAGGCAAAAGGCAAAATCGGTGCCTCAGCAGACTGTAGAACAGAAGGAAACCATCTCAACATAACAAAGGTCACATATCAAACAGGTCACATCACACTCAGCGGTCAAAGACTGCTTTTTCCTCTGAGACTACAGGGAACAAGACAAGGGTGCCCACTTCCACCACTTCTATTCAACATTGTACTGGAAGTCCTAGCTGGGGAAATTAGGAAAAAAGAAAAGAAAAGGCATCCAAATTGGAAAATACAAAGTTTTGCAGCTCTGTTTGCAGCTGATATGAACTTAAGGATTTCATATGTAAAAAACCTTAAAGAGTAAATACAAAAAAAAAAAAACCCACAACTGTTAGAATGTAACAAAGTTGCAGGATACAAAATCAGTTGTGTATCTAACTAACAATGAACAATCTGAAAAGGAAGTTAGGAAAATTTCATTTATGCTAGCATCAAAAGAATAAAATTCTTAGCAACAGGGACCAAAATGAGCAGGGGGTGGAAGAAAGGAAGAAGCTTCCAGAAGGTTGGGTAGTGGGGAGGCAGTGAGTGAGTGGGCTTCAAAGCAGAGTAGAAGGCTTTGTGGCAGAAGTTACTAGGGGGAAATGCTGAGAAAATATGAGGAAGGTGGGAGAAAGCAGAATAAGGTGTTCTCATCACAAGTAGAGAGATGAGTGCTGATTTGATATGAAGTGTAGACGTGGGGAAGTGGAATCCCTAATCTTCTCCCACACGGGCCAAGAATTAACCTTTTAGAAGCCAGATGGCGCAGGGCAAAGTTGCACAAATAGTAACCATGTGTTAACATATCTGGAGAACATGGTAATAAAAAGCATGTTCACAAGTGTGCATTTGCCTCTCTAAAAAAAAAAAAAACACCTCTCAAAAATGTATCAAGGGACACACCTCAACATAATAAAGACCATACATGACAAGCTGACAGCTAACATCATACTCAACGGTGAAAAGCTGAAAGCTTTTCTCTAAGATCAGAAACAAGACAAGGATGCCTACTCTTACCACGTTTATTCAACATAGTTTTGCAAGTCCTAGACAGAGTAAGAAAAAGACATCCAAACCGGAAAGGAAGAAGTAAGACTGTCCCTCTTGGCATACAACATACTATATATAAAAACCCCAAAGACTTCACAAAGACACTGTTAGAATGAATAAACAAAGCAGTAAAGTTATAGGATACAAAATCAATATACAAAAATCAGCTGTGTTTCTATACACTGATAAAAAAAACCATCAGAAAGAGAAATTAAGAAAATAATCCCAATTGTGTCAAAAGGGTAAAATACCTAGAAATAAACTTAACAAGGAGATGAACTTGTACACTGAAAACCATGACAATGATGAAAGAAATTAAAGACACTAGTAAACAGAAAGATATTCCATGCTCATGGATTGGAGGAATATTGTTAGAATGTCCATACCACCCAAAGAAATCTACAAACTGAACACAAACCCTATCAAAATCCCAATGGTATCTTTCAGAGAAATAGAACAAACAATCCTAAAATTTGTGTGGAACAACAAGACTCCAAATAGCCAAAGCAATCTTGAGGAAGAAGAACAAAGCTGGAGGCATCATACTTCCTGGTTTCAGACTATATTGCAAAGCTATAGTAATAAAAACAGTATGATATTGGCATAAAATATAGACACATATATCAGTGGATCAGAAGAGAACCCCCAGAAATAAGCCCATACATATATGGTCAATTTAGGATAAAGAAGCTAATAATATACAATGGTGAAAGAATGGTCTCTTCAATAAGTAGTTCTAGAAAACTGGACAGCCACATGCAAAAGAATGAAACCGTTGGAATTCCCTTGCAATCCAGTGGTTAGGACTCTTTGCTTCCATTGCTGGGGGCCCAAGTTCAATCCCTGGTCAGGGAATTAAGGACCTGCAAGCCATGCAGCCAAAGGAAAAAAAAAAGAAAAGAATGAAATGGGACCACTATCTTACACCATACACAAAAGTCAATTCAAAGTGGATTAAAGGCTGGAATAGAAGACCTGAAACCATTAAACTCCTAGAAGAAAGCACAGGCAGTAAACTCCTTGACATCAATTTGGTGGTGACTTTTAGGAATTGACATCCAAAGCAAAGGAAACAAAAGCAAAAATAAACCAGTGGAACTACATCAAACTAAAAAGCTTCTGCACAGCAAAGAAAACCATCAACAAATTAAAAAGGCAATCTGGACTTCCCTAGTGGTCCAGTGGTTAAGGCTCCACACTTTCATTGCAGGTAGGCACAGGTTCAATCCCTGGTGGGGGTACTTAGAGCCTGCATGCTGTGCAGTGCAGTCAGGAAAAAAAAAAGATTACAAAGAAGCCTGTATATTGTCACTTTGCTTATTTAACTTACATGCAGAGTACATCATGTGAAATGCTGGACTGGATGAAGCCCAAGCTGGAATCAAGATTGCAGGGAGAAATATCAATAACCTCAGATATGCAGATGACACCACCCTTTTGGCAGAAAGCAAAGAGGAACTAAAGAGCTTTTTAATGAAAGTGAAAGAGGAGAGTGAAAAACCTGGCTTAAAACTCAACATTCAAACAACTAAGATCATGGCATCTGGTCCCATCACTTCATGGCAAATATATGGGGAAACAATGGAAACAGTTACAGACTTTATTTTGGGGGGCTCCAAAATCACTGTAGATGGTGACTGCAGCAATGAAATTAAAAGATGCTTGCTCCTTGGAAGAAAAGTTATGACCAACCTAGATGGCATATTAGAAAGCAGAGACATTACTTTACTGACAAAGGTCTATCTAGTCAAAGTTATGGTTTTTCCAGTAGTCATATATGGATGTGAGAATTGGGCCATAAAGAAAGTTGAGCACCGAAGAATTGATGCTTTTGAACTGTGGTGTTGGAGAAGACTCTTGAGAGTCCCTTGGACTGCAAGGAGATCAAACCAGTCCATCCTAAAGGAAATTAGTCCTGAATATTCATTGGAAGGACTGATGCTGAAGCTGAAGTTCTAATACTCTGGCCACCTGATGTGAAGAACTGACTCATTGGAAAAGACACTGATGCTGGGAAAGATTGAAGGCAGGAGAAGGGGATGACAGAGGATGAAATGATTGGACGGCATCACTAACTCAATGGACATGAGTTTGAGCAAGCTCCAGGAGTTGGTGATGGACAGGGAGGCCTGTCGTGCTGCGGTTCATGGGGTCACAAACAGTTGGACACGACTGAGTGACTGAACTGAGCTGAGCAGAGAAGGAAAAGGCAACCTAAGAAGTGGGATAAAATATTTGCAAATCATATAACTGATAATGGGTTAATACTCAAAATATATAAAGAATTCATACAACTCAACAGCAAAAAAAAAAAAAAGGAAAAACCTAACAAAAAAAAGTCCAAATAATATGATTTTTAAAAGGGCTAAGATTCTGAATGGATATTTTCCCAAAGAAGACATACAGATGGCCAACAGGTACACTGCAGCAGCCAAAACGCACCTCCCTTAGAGAACCCTGAACAAACGCTAGTAGAGAGATAGGCAGCAGTGGGGGTCATGCAGATGGTGCTGCTGACCACAGCCTTGCCCAGCCTGGGTCCTGGCCTGCCCCAGGTGCCTAGCCTCAGGCCTCTAGCCCAGATCTTGGCACCCTGTCCTTGGGTGTGGAATGTTAGATAAAGCCCTTGACCCTTCCCTCTCAACCCCTCACCATCAATTAAGGTCCCAAGGCAGTGTTGGGGACCCATTCCTTTGAGGTGCAGTTCTGACTTCACCTCCTGGACCAGGGAATACGTACCTTCAGGGTCTGCCCGTTCCGATGCATAAGGTAGGCCAGGATGGCCGCACAGCTGCGGCTGATGCCCAAGGTGGAAAAGACCAGGATGACGGAGTTGAGCTCCAGGTGTATGTCTGGGGAGGGAAGGAAAGGTGGAAGGCTATGCGTGGCTTCTTTCCCTGAGGATCCGGAAGACGACTGGCCCCAGTGGACCCACGAGTAGGTTCAGAACCAGCACACCACGGTCTAGGCGGGTCACATGATAGCTCTAGGATACTGTTTCGTTGCCTGGCAAATGATGCGTTTAGCATCATACAAAGGCTTTCTCTGAGCTATCTGTGCTTCCTTCCCAAGGTCGGCCACCTGGGTGCTGACAGAGGCTGTGTAGCCTGGATGTGAACCACAACCAGTGAGCACTGGCTGTGGGGCTTGGGCACTCAAAGCCACCATTTCTCCATCTGGAAAATGTGGTAACGGTATACTGCCTGCCTCACGAGGTTCTGCACTGTGCTTAGCCCTGCCCTTTTTCTCCTGAGAGCTGGGAGGCACCGGCAGCAATAGGTACGAGGTGCCATGGCCCCCTCTGCTCCCCTGGCACGGGGCCTGGCTGAAGAATGCCCCTTACCAATGAAGTGACAGAGGAGGCGTAAAAAGGGTGTAATGCTTGCTTCCAGGGAATCTTCTATCTGGATGTGCAGAAGCCTGTCGGCGTCACCTACAAAACTAAACAGAAGACAAGCACGTAATCAGGCAGACTCACCCAGATCCTGGCTGTGGTGTCCTTCATCCACAGCAACAGGACTGCAAGGGGAGGATGCTGAGCTGGCAGCAAGGAGATGGGGGCAAATAAATGACACCCTCTCAGAAAAAGAGCACCTGCCTCAGAGGGGTGTTGTGTAGATTAAATCAACTCATCTATGTAAGGCATTTAGCAATCTGCTTGGCACCGTATTCAATAAACGGGATGTTGTTATTATTAACCAAACCTGGTGCTTTCCTGGAACAGAATGCAGACGGTGAGGACGGAAATATGTAATGAGTCTGCTATGTTAAATGGAGGAAGCAAGACTGACAGAGTCAATTGACAAGACTGATGGAGAGTGGTGGGGCTCCTGTTTTAGATAGGGTGGTCAGGGAAGGCTTTCCTGAAGAGGTGATATTGGGAAGAGGTTTAAAGGAGGTGACAGGACAAGCCAGGCGGTTATCTGAAGAAAGAGAGTTCCAGGTAGAAGAGAATCCAAGGGCAAAGGTTCCGAGGGCCAGGATATTTAGTATGCTTGCGAAACATCAGGGGGATCAGAGTGGCGAGAGCTTTATGAACAAGGGAGAAAGAAGAGGGAGATGAGGCATGTGGCCCGTTCAATGAGAAGATGGAGCTTGGCACAATGCCTGGTGTGCAGTGAGTGCTTGGTAAATGTTATTTATGAAGAACACGGCCTGCTGGTCATTCACTGTGGCATGCAGAAAGGTGCAGTAGATTCAAGAATAAAAATATTCTGGTTCAGTTTCTGCATGAGCACTTGCTGTGACAAATACAAGCACAATTCACCATGCATGCATGCATTCATTCATTCATTCTGTCCATCCATCCTTCCCTTCCCCTTCCTCTCTTGCTCCCTCCCCACCTGACCACCCACGCACCATCCATTCATCCATCTATCCCCAATCATTCATTCTTTCCTCAGACACTTGCTCAATGCCTATAGTGTACCCGGCCTTGAGCTGGACCCTAGTGAACATAAGATAAATCAAATAGGGCCTCTCCCAGCTTCAAGGAGCTCTCACCCTGATGGGAGAGGTATACACACAAACAAATGGCTAATCCAATTGGCTAGGCTTTAGGATAAAGACCTACATGTGCTACTGAAGAGGAGGGGCAGGGCAAAATCGAGGGAGCTGGGGAAAGCCTAACAGTGGAGGAAACATCTGGAAGGAGGAGGTTGAAGGATACAGGTTAACGTATAAAAATCAACTGTATTTCCACATACTAGCAACAATCAGAAATTTAAATTTTATTTGTTTATTTATTTGGCTGCAGTGTGTAGCTTGCGAGATAGTTCCCTCACCGGGGACTGAACCCAAGGCCCTAGGAATTAAAGTGCCACATCCGAACCACTGGGCCACCAGGGAAGTCACATGACTGTTGGCAGGATTCAGTTTCTCACAGGCTCTTGGACCGAGGGCCTCAGTTCATCACTAACTGTTGGCTGAAAACCATCAGGCTTTTGCCATGCAGACCTGTCTCCAGAGGTCTGACAGCATGGTGGCTGACTTCCTTCAGCATGAGTGAGCAAGACACGGTAAGACAGAGGCCACGGTCTTTCTGTGACCCAATATCAGAAGTGACAGCCCATCACTTCTGCTTTATTCCATCCATTAATGCGCCCAAATGCTGGCCCAAATGCTGTGAATGGTAGGTGGTGGGGAATCACCAGAAAGACTGCAAAGACATATTCCATATTTCCCTTTCATTGATTTCTGTTGAGTCAGTCGTCAGTCTAATTATTGTTCCTTGGAAAGTCATGTCTTACTTACCTGCTTCTTTTCACTTCTCTCTCTCATTCTCAGAAGTCTCACTAAGTGCCTTGATGTGATTTTCTTTAGATTTATTGATTTTCATATAGTAATTTTTATTACCAGATGCCTCACTGAATTCTTGTGTTATATAAATTGTCTCTGAGCTGAATTTTATTAGCTTTTGATTAGGAACTAGAGGAAGTGGAGGCCTTGGTGATCGTGACTGGACATAGCTGGGAAGACACAGGCTGACAAGCAAGGCTGTAAAGAAATTTCCTGTTCCATGAACAATGGTGAGTGTGTGTGTGTGTGTGTGTGTGTGTGTGTGTCCCTAGCATCAGGGAAAATCTGAGGCATAACAGTTGCTGTATGCAATGTTTGTGTCTTCCCAAAATTCATATGTTGAACCCTAATTCCCAAAGTGATGGTATTTGAAGGTGGGGTTTTGGGGAGATAATTAGCTCATGAGGGCAGAAATAAAAACCCTTATGAGTGGGATTAGTGCCCTTGTAAAAGGGACCCCTAGAGAGCTTTGCCCCTTCCGCCAGGGGAGGGAGGACACAGCAAGAAGAGTCCATCCATGAACCAACAGCAAGCCTTCATCAGACATGGAATCTGCCATCTTGGACTTCCCAGCCTCCACACCGTGAGAAAGCCTGTTGTTCATAAGCCACTAGTCTGCAGTATTCTGTTCCAGCAGCCCAGGTGGACTAAGAGAGGGGTCGCTTCTCAGAGGGCCTGAGACAGGAAAAGCAGGGTAAACCAGGATGACTTTGCATCAGAATGTCAAAGCACCAAAAAAGCGTTACTTTTGGTGAGATTTAAGTACAGGGTGTGGGGCAAGCGTCGGGTCTCAGTCTGGGGCAGAGGATGCTATGCTCATGCCAGGAAGTCAAGAGCAGGCTAGGAACAGATGAAAACAACACAGATCCCATTCCAGTGTATACTGACTTCTAAAAGCCCTTTCAATTCTATCAGTGCATGCCACTGGAGGTCTTATATAAATAAATAATACTAATATAAAAAATCAATGGTATTTCTACTTACAATGGCCCTGTCTCCATGGAGATGTTGACATGTGCATTGATTTTCAAATCCTTCTGAATTTTAGGGTCGCAGGCTTGCTTGAAATTTCCCAGGTAGATCCTGCCTGGCATTATCTCAATAGGGTATGGCTGGAAGGCATCCAGTTCCTGAGGAGGGGATGGGGAAAGCCTGCTGTCATAATAATCCCCAGAGAAGAAGCTGTTTTTGTTTTATCTCTTGAAATGCGGCTCAGCAAACAAGCTTAGAAAGGCAATCTGGGATAGTGAATGAGACTAACCAAATGTTCATTGCAGCACAATTTATGTAGCCAGGATGTGGAAGCAACCTAAACGCCCAACATTAGAGGAATGGATAAAGAAGGTGTGGTGCATATATATAATGGAATATTACTCAGCCATAAAAAAGAATGAAGTAACACTGTTTGCAGTAACAATGGATGGACCTAGAAATTATTATAACTAAGTGAAATAAGTCAGAGAAAGACAAACACTATATGGTATCACTTATATGTGGAATCTTAAAAATATGATACAAACACACACACACACACATACACAAATCATATGATACAAATGAACTTACTTACAAGACAAAAACAGACTCACAGCCTTTGAAAACAAACTTATGGTTATCAAAAGAGAAAGATGTAGGGGGAAGAATAAATGAGGAGTTTGCGATTAACATATACACACTACAATATATAAAATAGATAATCAACAAGGACCTACTGAATAGCACAGGGAACTCTATTCAGTATTCTATAATAACCTATACAGGAAAAGAATCTCAAAAAGAGTGGATATATGTATACAAATAACCGAGCCACTTTGCTGTACCCCTTTAACTAACACCACATCCACATTGTAAAGTGACTATATCCAAATATAAAATAAAATTTAATTTAAAAAATTATGTCAAAAAAATTAAAACCAAAACTACCATTTGATCCAGCAATCCTACTTTTGGCACCAATCTGAAGGAAATGAAATGACCATCTTGAAGATATATCTGCACCCCACATGATCATTTGAGCATTATTCACAAAAGATACAGAAATGACCTAGAAGTCCATCAATGGATGAATGGATAAAATATGGCATGTATATACAATGGAATACTGTTCAGCCATAAAAAAGAAGAAAATCTTGTCATTTGTGACCACATGAATGGAATTTGAGGGTGCTGTGCTGAGTGAATAAGTAAAAAACAAACAAACAAACAAACAACATTGCATGATCTCACCCATATGTGGCACTCTGAAAAAGCAAAACTCATGGTATTTCCAGGGGCTGTGTGGGTGGGGAAAATGGGGAGATGTTAGTCAAGATTATAAACCTCCAGACATAAGGCAAATCAGTTCCGGAGATCTAATGTACCGCATGGTGACTACAGTTAATAACACAGTATTATATACTTGAAATTTTAAGAAAAATTTCAAGAAAGTACATCTTAAATGTTCTCATCGCTCACACACACATAAATGGTAGTTGTGTGAGGTGATGGATGTGTTCATTTTACTATGGTAATCATCTTGCCACATACAAAGTGAAAGCGAAAGTGTTAGTTGCTCAGTCCTGTCCGACTCTGTGGGACCCCATGGACTGTAGCCCCGCCAGGCTCCTCTGTCCACGGGATTCTCCAGGCAAGAATACTGCAGTGGGCAGCCATTCTCTTCTCCAGGAGATCTCCCCGACCCAGAGATCAAACCCGGGTCTCCTGCATGTCAGGCAGATTCTTTACCATCTGAGCCACCAGGGAAGCTGCAACATATATGTGTATCAAATCATGTTGTATGCCTTAAACTTACACAGTCTTATATGTCAATTATACCTCAATAAAGCTGGGGGGTGGATTACAAAATTTGAGTGTTTCCAAGGAAAGATTATTACAGCACCCATCAGGTGGTTAGAAACAATTATTAATAAAAATATTAATAAAAATAATTATTAAACAATTATTAATGAGACTTATAAACAAGTTGGAAAACAGCCAGAGAAGTCTAAGACTGTTCTCAAAGCATGCCTCCAGAACTAATGAAAATGCCTCTAATGGTTCCTTGGGTGACCTCTTGTAGTTCAGATGTCTGTAATAAAACAGTGGATACTTGTTTATTGTTGGCATAGACTGAAAACTTACTTGTTATATTTAGTAAAATAAAACCTAGGCATAACCTCAAAAGAAAAAAAGAAAAAGAAATCCACTAACATTGTATAAACTGATGTTTATAGAATATGATCTGCTGGTAGTGGTTGTTCAGTTGCTAAGTTGTATCTGACTCTTTGCGACCCCATAGACTGTAGCATGCCAGGCTTCCCTGTCCTTCACCATCTCCCAGAGTTTGCTCAGACTCACGTCCATTGAGTCAGTGTTGCTATCTAGCCATCTCATCCTTGGCTTCCCTCTTCTCCTTTTGCCTTCAATCTTTCTCAGCATCAGGGTCTTTTCCAATGAGTTGGCTCTTTGCATCATTGGCCAAAGTAGAGGAGCTTCCGCTTCAGCATCAAATTTGGAAAACTCAGCAGTGGCCACAGGACTGAAAAAAGGTCAGTTTTCATTCCAATCCCAAAGCAGGGCAATGCCAAAGAATGTTCAAACTGTTTAGAAACCCCCTTTTTTTCATCAGTTTTCCATAGGAAATTCTAACCAATATAATTTCAAAGGTCAAACCAGTTCTAAACCACCTCTGGCTCCAAGTTCGACTCAGAAACAACATCTTAAGTACCTCAAGCTAGTGTGCAGTCCACCTGAGCCTTCCAGCGCCTTCTGGTTTCAGCACACCTCCCCTCCCAGTGAACCCACCACCAGCCCACATTCCTCCCAAACTGTCAACCTCAAAAGCTTTTTTATCAACTAGCAGACACCATTCCAAGTCAACCTTCAAGTTTGTGAGACATTCGGCCCTTCCATGTGCAGGAAGGCAGGCCCACTACCCACAAATGTGACCCAGAGCGCTCCCCAGGGTTCAGGGTGACCACTCCCTCAGGACGCCCAGCTTGCTGCAGCCAAGTGAACTCCTCCTGGTTTCATGTGGAAAATCTCACTCAATCTCACCACAAATCTGTCAAGGCTCTTCCTGATGCTTTTGAATCAGCTTCCTTTCCCGGTGGTTTTAAGGGCCGTGGGGGAGTGGGTGTGACATGCTCTGCTCTAAACAGCTACTGCCGGTTAATTCTAGAGGACACAGTTTTGACAACCATGTCGACAAATGTAAAAGAAACCAGTATCACAAACTAACATGTCCAAATTGAGTCCACTGCCCGATGTGGGTAGCCACAGTCCATGGGGTCACAAATAGTCAGACATGACTTAGTGACTAAACAATAACAACATATAAAACAGGAAATTAGAAGTCACTCAGTCTAAAGTAGAGGAGCCATCTCAGAGTCCAAACTCTGTGCCTCCGTCCCCCTGAGTTCCTTGGGGAGCAGCAGAGACAATGCTGCTTCACGTGTCAGACCACGTAACAGGAACAGAATGGGACTTTCACTCTTGCCCCTGAATTAGTAACAAAGGTCCCAAAGTAGGGAGAAGCCAATCTAGGAATGTACATCCTACAAGGGCCTCGAACAAGAAGCATAGAACTCACTTGTCCAGGCCCTGCTAGATACCACCAGCCACCGCCCTATCCTTCTTCCCAAACTACTTTAAAACTGGGGCAAGGACCAGTCTCAGGTGTATACATGTCAAAAGTGACCAAATTGTACATCCTAAATATGTGCTGTTTAACCTATGCCAATTCCACCTTCCTAAAACTTTAAAAGAAAAATAAAGGGGCTTCCCTGGTGATCCAGTGGTTAAGAATCTGCCTGCCATTGCAGAGGACAAGGGTTCGATCTCTGATCTGGGAAGATCCCACATGCCACAGGCAACTAAGCCCATGCACTGCAACTCCTGAAGCCTGCACACCTAGAGCCCATGCTCCGCAAAAAGAGAAGCTGCTGCAACGAGAAGCCCGAGCACCTCGACAAGAGCAGCCCCTGCTCTCCGCGACTAGGGAGAGCCCATGCACAGCAACGAAGACCCAGTGCCGCCAAAAGTGAATAAATATTTTTTAAAAAAGAAAAAGAAAGAAGGTGAGTCATGAGCATGTGATGTTTGCAGACAAGGAAGACCCACTCTCGTCACTGCAGAGCCAGTAAGGACGCTCCTCTGGGGGCAGAGGCGTGCCGTGGAGGGGCCTGGGAAGACCACTGTACAGCTGCTGAGCTAAGAGTCACAGCTCAGCGGAAGAAGCTGAGGAAGTCCCCTGGAGAGCGTCACACGTACACCCTGAGTCTGGGAACAAGCATGACCCTGGTGTGGGCCCCCGCCTTTTCACACGGGCTGGCGGGAGCAGCCACGCCAGCAAGGCCAGGAGCAGCCTCATCCCCACCGTCACACCCTCCGGGGGCTCATTCTGGACTTCGGGTGAAGGAATGTGGATGGGGTGGGAGGTCGTGAGCTGCCAAGGGAAGGGAAGGGACCTGGGGGGTATTCCTGTCAGGAATTCTCGGCTGGCTCTCTCTGAAGGACCCCTGGTAACAGATGGAAAGGAAACCAGCCTCAAAGGCCGTCATCTGTGGCACACAGAACCAGGCGGGGCAGAATGAGAAGAGGGCACATCCCCACCACTGATAAGCAGCCAGTCACACAAGACAGGACCCACCCGGACCCCCAGCACCAAAGGGACCAGGACCAGAAGAGGAGAAGTAAGCAGGTATCCCTGAAGCTACCCTACACTCCTCCCCACTTCCAGTCCCCACCCCCAGACAATGGAAGGCTGCCCAACTCCGTGAAGGGAGAGGAAAGAAGACCTGAGTTGAGACTAGAACATTAAACTAGCCTAGCTTGTACTGGTCTGTTTTATTCCCTTTTAAAAAATTATTTCAAAAAGACACAAAAGTAGAGAAAATAATGTAAAAAACTCCTGGATCTATCACCCTTCAGCAAACATTCATTATCAACTAATGGCCCATTTCGTTCCATATATGCCTCCAACTTCCCGACCCTCCCCAGATTATTTTGAAGGAAATTCTAGACATCATGTTATTTTAATTATAAATATCTCATTATGTATCTCTAAAAGATAAAGACTCACGTTTTCAGAAACATAGCCACAATAATGTTATCACAACCTTAAAAAATATGTAACAATAATTCCTTGTTGTTGTTCAGTCGCTCAGTCCTGTCCGACCATGACCCCATGGACTGCAGCACACCAGGCTTCCCTGTCCATCACCAACTCCCAGAGCTTGCTCAGACTCATGTCCACCGAGTCGGTGATGCCATCCAACCCTCTCACCCTCTGTCATCCCCTTCTCCTCTTGCCCTCAATCTTTCCCAGCACCAGGGTCTTTCCCAATGAGTCTGCTCTTCACATCAGGTGGAATTCCTTACTATCACCAAATTCCAGTTCATAAGCACATTTCTCCAGTTGTTTTATAATATGATGAAACTGAAATTTTTCATAACCGAGAGTGGTCTGAAAGTATGGAATCGGCCCATGATGTTGCCCACGGCAAGAGTGAGAGCACAGCTGAAGTAATTTGCTAGAAAGAATGAAACCCCTGCAGGTTCACATTCCATTTCATTCCTGACTCTTCAAGAAACCAGATGCTATTAAATTCCCCCCAGGACCGCCCGTCTGCCTGTGACTGCCCTCCAGTGCTCACCTTATTTACCCTCTGGTTTGCCTCCCGTCACCTTGTGTAACACCTTGGCCACACCTTGTTATAACCCTTGTCTCCCCCATCAGACAAAGGACTCCTTGTAGGCAGGAGCTGCTATCTCATCCTTTCGTTGTAACCTCTGGACCCAGCCAGGGTCTGTGAGGCCAGACGGCTAAGGATGGCCCTGCCTGGGTGGCTTTGACCACGACCCATCACCCAGAACCCCCCGCCGCGGATCCCTGTTCTCTCAACTGGCCTCATCGATGAAACACCACACTGGCTTCTGCCTCCATCTGGCACTTATAAATTCATCACACTGGACTGGACTGGACCTCCTGGCTGCCTGAGTTCATTCCCAAGTCATCGTCAACATCTCTTCCATCATTTCCACATCATCTGTCCCCTCCTCTTTCTCCAGCCCTGCCCCCTACCCCTTCGGTCCCCAGGGAAAGGCCACGCTCCCACCCGGGCCTGCCTGTGCTCAGTGCCCAGCTTACCTGAGGCATCCAGATGATCTTCTGTGTCCGGAAGAAGTGATACATGGCCGAGAAGTGCTCGTAGCCTCCTCTCAGGATAAGGATGGGGTGGCGGGTGAGGTGGGTGAGGGTTCTGCCACACTCCACAGCCGCTCCAAGCACTATTCCTAAGAGCAGAGACCAAAGAGACGACTGTCTCCTGTGTGCTAACTGTTTGACTGGAGGCCCAGTGGACAGGCACTCCACTCTGAAAAGCAATTATCGAGGAAACTGAAGCGAATATAAACAGAGATGAAAGCTACAACTAAAATTTAAAAAGCAATTCACCACCAAGTAAGCTGATCTTTGTCTGTAAATGCCAAGATTGCATTTTCGTTTCCATATTGTTGCAAGGAAGGATGATCCAACATAAGTGAAATGCATATGTATATGTGAAAGTGAAAGTTGCTTGGTTGTGTCCAACTCTTTGTGACCGCCTGGACTATACAGTTCATGGAATGCTCCAGGCCAAAATACTGGAGTGGGTAGCCTTTCCCTTCTCCAGGGGATCTTCCCAAGCCAGGGATCGAACCCAGGTCTCCCACATTGCAGGTGGTTCTTTACCAGCTGAGCCACGTTATATGTATATACAATATCGTAAATGATATGCCACACAATTCATCTATTTAAAGTATAGAAATTAATGTTTTTAATGTATTTGCAGTTGTGTAACCATCACTGCAGTCAATTTCAGAACATTTTAATCACCTCCAAAAGAAACCATGTACCATTTAGAGGGTTTCATTCCTCACTTCCCTGAAAACATTCAGTTCTAGGCAACCACTAACCTAATTTCTTATGGATTGACCTATTTTGGACATTTTATAGAAATGGAATTATACAAATGTGAAATGTGGTGTTTTGTGTCTGGTTTCTTTCACTGGGCATGATGTTGTCAAAGTTCATCTATGTTGCACCAAGTGTCAGCACTCCGTCCTTTTTCATAGCTGAATAGTATTCCTCTGCGTGGCTCTCCATCTTTGGTTTATCCACTGATCTGTGGATGAATATTTCAGGTGTTTCCATTTTGTGGCTATTATAAGACTGTCAGGAACACCCATGTACAAGGTTCTACGTGCACGTTTAATTTCTCTCTGGCATATACTATGGACAAAGAATGTTCCTTGCCACATCAGTAAACAAAGAACACTGTGGCCATCAAGCCATTGGCCACTGCAGTTGTCCCTGACTGTGCAATCTTCCCTGAGTAAGCAAATTATAAGTGCGTGGTTTTGGGGGTTTGTTGTTCTGTGATTGTGATTTCTTTCCGAGTGAGGATGGCAGCTCCACAGTGCCAGTGAGGTCAGGTAGAGTATAGAGGGGATTGTTTTTAGCGACCACCATTTCCTAGGACTTCAGGGTTCAGCCGACAATCCTAGGATTGCAGACCAGGGATGAGTGTAGAGAAGAGGGGACAATTTCCTAGCTAAGGACCTCCTGAGAAAACTAGTTTTATTACAGGTAGAAGCCTAACACCACCCAGTGGCCACTGGTATGAATGCCCAGCCCATGGAACGCATCCACCCATATCAGTCACTGGGCCAGCAAGCAGCAGCAATGTGTGGCCAGCTCAAAGCAGGGGCTGAATGGAGAATGCAGTGGAGCCTCAGTGAAGCAGACTGGGACTGGCCACGGCCCAGCTTGAGGACGCAGTGACTGCACTGTTCTCCAGCATTTAGGCCGTGGGAGACCAGACAGAGCCCAGGCTTGAATCCTGGCCCCACCACTTACTAGGTGTGGTGGTTTAAAAACTCTTCCCACAAACACTTTCAAGTGCCTCCCTTTAGTTTAATTCCCCTCTCCTTGAGGGTAGGCTGTTCTCAGTGACTCGCTTCTAATGAACTTGCTTCTAGTATTCCCGTCTCAAGACCAGGTCATAAATAGGTGTGTGGCTGTCCCCTTCTCTCCCTCTGTCTTGGCCCACTCTCTGTGGGGAAAGCAGCTGCCCTGTCGTGAGGCCATCTAAGCAGTTCTCTGCGCAAGTCCACACAGTGAGGAAGGCAGGACTCCTGGCTATCCCCACGGGAGTGACCATCTCGGAGGCACATCGTCCTGGCCCCATCTCACCTTCACAGGACAGCAGTCTGGCTGACATCATGTCTACAGCCTCAGGACAGGCGAGAACCTCCCAGCTAAGTGCTCCCGAATTCCACAGAAACAAACAGACAACTAATGATTATGGTATTAAACTACTGAGTTTGGGAGTAATTTGTTACACAGCAGTAGAAACCCACGGTCCCAAACATGGGGAACAAGTTATTTCACCTTCCTGGACTCCAATTTCTTCCTCTATAAAATGGAGACATTACTTACTAGGAGCCAACTCTCCACGGTCTTTCATGTTTCTACATGTCCTTTGAACCAAGGCACTGACTTTTCAAGGATATCTGTAATAAACAGCCTTGGATGATAGAGACAGTTCCTCCCTCCAGAGTCAAGGGCAGGCAGGCTGTCTGCATGTTTGTTAGAAAAGATTTAGGCCCCCTGAGCTCAGAGTCCTCTAACAATACCACCCACTGCTTTCTGGCTACTTCTATTGCTCTGAGAAATAAAGTCTTTTATCTATGACCCAGGATCCTCAGGTCTTGCGCCAGCATCCATAAAACCACAGCAGGCTCGCTTGTCACCTTGCAAAGAAGGAAACATCCCAGACCCTTCCCAGGTTCTGACTCTGCCATTCCCATAGGGCTGTTCTACAGAGATGGCCCAGGCAGAGCTCCCGGCATGTGGCAAAAGCGCTCAGTAACTTAACTCTTATTCTTGCTGCTCTGGTAAAGACTCACTGTGCTTGCCATCATCAGCGCTGTCATCGTCACTGCTTTCGTCTTTCAGCATTAGCTCCGGGGAGATTGTGCTGTTATCGTATACCACACAGTATTCCACACACTCCAGATCCACAGACTCCGGGATTAGATATTTGCCTGCCCTCTAAAGAAACCACCGGAGAAGCCTGTTGGCGGGTGGGTTAGGCTGAGCCCACACGCCCTGCACTCCACCACCGGGACGAGCCGAGGTGGGACAGCGCCCCCTTCCTTGACCACACACAGGCCCGGAAGCCCTGAGAGTGGACCAGAGAGGCTGTCATGTTCCAAGAGTCTTCCACACCCACCGTCCCTCCTGGAGAAGCTGTCCACGGCTGATTGGACCAGAGATGATAGCCTGCCCAAAGAACAGTGGTCTAGTGACCAGCCCACAGACGATTAGGAGCCCTGGCACAAGTGCTGAGAGAGTAGCCGTGGCCACCTGAACTACTGACATCCTCTGCAGAAAGGTGTGGGTGATGGAGACCAAAGTCAAAATCTGCCATGAAGAGGGCAGTAAGCAGACAGGCTTGAATGGACAAAAGTCACAACCCCGGGGTCCGTAACATTGCCTGGCACATCAAAGAATTAAATCAACATTTGCTTAATGAAGCTGTTGACCACGGAGGACAGGGAGAAACCTCAGGGAGTGTGTGACACTGTCAGAGACCCTCGTGGTGGACGCACGGGGTCCTGCCTCCTTCGCCCACAGTGTTCCAGTAGGAGGTGCCGCCTCCTGGACCTCGGGTAAAATCTCCCATTCTTCCGGCCCTCCAGTAAGGTAGCCTGTCTGCCCCACATTCGGACTCTGTCGGTATACCTTCTTCACGAGGAGGGCTGTAATCACGTGGCTTTCATCATACTCCCGCCTGGACCGCACATCTGAAAAGGAAAAGTATCAAATGAGTAACTGCTTTTGCAAAGGAACACGTGACCAACAAGAGCATTAAAATATGTTAAAGTAAAACGATGAGCCAGAAACAGAGAAAATAGCTCTAATACAAATAACTAACAAAATCTTATATCCAGAATTTATAAAGAACTTACAAATCAATGAGGGAAAAAAAATACAGACATCTGAAGACATCTTTACCTTCAGAAACAGCTCAAGAGTACATCCAAACGGACTCCTATACTCAAGGCCACCAAAGAACTTACTGCTTGCTCCAGCTGACACCTGAAGACAGGGCCCCTGTCCCCCACCTCTGAGGAGGGTAAGAGCCTAATTTCGATAAGCACCAGTTAGCAAGCCCCCTTGGGTTTCACATGGTCCAACTCCCACCAAGTTTGTAGTTTTTCACTTCCCTGACTCTGAGCCCCATGTTCCTCCTCTCTACTCCTTCACTCTCCATCTCAAAGGTGTCTGTGCAAACCGGAGTCCTGTTCACTCTGGGCTCTTCCCTATTGCAATAGTGCACTACCGATTAAATTCTGCTTCTCCTTTGTTTATCTTGAACATGATCTAATAACAAAAATGAACCAACTACACTCTAGCTCCAGGCAACAACATAAGTGAACCTTCATCGCATAGTCTTGAGCAAAGGTCAGAGACATGGTCTATCTGGCTTAAAAACAAGTGAAACTGGGACTTCCCTGGTGGTCCAGTGGTTAAGAAGCCCCCTTCCAAAGCAGGGGGTGCAGGTTCAATCCCTAAGATCTCACATGCCGTGCAACAACTAAGGCCACACACTACAAAGGGAGAGTCTGCGCACTGCAGTGGAAGATCCCACTTGCCACAGCCATAAAGTACTTACCCAATAAACAGAGGTAGTTGGGTTCAGTTAATCTGGATAGTTTTGTGACCTGATTCAAGATGTTGTAAAGCTCTGTTGGTTCACACAAAACCAAACCGGTCATCCTACAGGAAAGAATCAATAATGTATTAATAAAAGCTTAATAAAAGCTTAGTGAAAAAAAAAAGCTTAGTGAAATGAAAGTCGCTCAGTCGTGTTGCGACCCCATGGACTGTATAGAATTCTCCAGGCCAGAATACTGGAGTGGGCAGCCTTTCCCTTCTCCAGGGCATCTTCCCAACCCAGGTCTCCCGCATTGCGGGCAGATTCTTTATCAGCCTAGCCATAAGGATAGCCCAAGAAAACTGGTGTGGGTAGCTTATCTCTTCTCCAGCGGATCTTCCCAACTCAGGAATGGAACCATGGTCTCCTGCATTGTAGGCAAATTCTTTACCAACTGAGCTATCAGGGAAGCCCAAAAGCTTAGCACATCTTTCTATTTTAGATGAATGACTACCAAGTCACAAAATTAAACTTTCTTAACATGTGTTCAAGGTGAAAATAATCACCAAAGTGATCAAGGAAACTTCAAAAACTTATAGTGAAATGTGTGTAGGGGAGATAAACATTGCATACAATGTATCTGAATAAAACAGGTTGTAAAACAGTCACCAATTCATTTCTTCTTTCAGTAAATCATCACTGAATACCTACTACATGCCAGGCGCTGGAAATAACTGGTCAACTAGACCTACCCTTACGAGGATTACAGTCCAGCATGGAAAGCAGACATTGGACAAACAAATACTTCGTTAAGTAGGGAAAGCCTTATAAAAGGGTCAGCATCCAGTGCCACGGGAGGTGGCCACAGGAGGGCACCTAGACGGTGGGCTGGGGGGGTTGGTCAGAGAGGGGCTATCTGAGATGTGACAGCTGAGACAGGAGGTTAGGCAAGACTTAGGCAGGTGGAGGAGACAGAGAGGATGAAGGAGGTGGGAACACTCCTGAGAGCAGGCGGGAACTTAGCACCTGAGGTTTCAAAAGGAGCCTGGGGACAGTGGGAAGAGAATGATGATGAAGACCCTGGGGAGGCTGATGCAGGTCCCTCATAAGAGGCCTTGTGGGCTTGTTGTAAAGATCGTGTTGCTTCGTGGAAGGTGGGGCATCGCTCACTTGTACTGACAGAACTGCCCGGCCAGCCGGGGCTGTGGCTCCTGCTTAGAGGGCCGCTCTTGGTTCCTGGGCACGACCGTCTCTGCAGCCCCCTGGACACTGAGCGGGGAAGGCTGGGCCTGTGCAGCAGCTTCCTCCAAGGAGGTTACCTTTTAGCCGGGGAGGGAGCAACCAGGAGCAGCCAGCAGACCTCTGCAGGCCAGTCAAGTCCAGGGACAATCTTGTTCAAGTGGACAGTTAGGGTCCACTTCAGAACTACCAGTACAATGCTCCCCAGAAAGGCTAAACCCTCGACTTGGGCCCTGGAACCTTCTCACCTCCTCCAGCACCTCAGTTCTCAGCCTCCCCTCCAACATCATCAATTTCGGTCTCCATGTCGGTCATTCCCAGTGGCACGCCAGCATCCTCTGTGCCTGTCTCTGTTCCCTTTGACAGCCAAGACCTCTCAAAAGGGATGTGTCTACATGGCCTCCACTTCCTCACCTCTGAACTCTAGTCTGAACCCCTGTTGTGCCACTTATTCTTGGCTGCCTGACCTCAGGGAATAATTAGCCTTTCTGTGCCTCAGTTTCTGCCTCTGTAAAATGGGGTAAAAATAGTATTGCCATTTCTGTAGAACAAGGATAATAGTACTTGTTGTGTGTGGATCAATGAAATTACACACAGAAGACATTCTGAGCAGGGAGGAAGTGCTCAGTAATTGTTAGTTATTGGTATGAACTTCTCCCCTGGAACTTCTAACCCCAAACCACAGAACCTGCTCTTATCAAGGTCATCACAAATACTCCTCCTGCCTAATCCATTTAGTCATTCCTCTGTAACCCACTTGAATGCCTCCTTCCCCAAACACTCCCCGCTCCCAGGAACCCCCACTCTCTAGGCTTCCCGCTTCCCTCTCAGATGGCTCCTATTCCAACTCTCCCCACGAGCACACCCTCGGACACAGTCATCTCCCCTCTTCTCTACCTACACTCTCACTCTGGGACAGAGCTTCTGAGCCTTGGCGCCACTGAAAGGCGCGGCCAGGTAATTCTTGGTTGTGGGGCTGACCTGTGCACCACAGGATGTTTAGCAGGATCCCCAGCCTCTACCAGGAGATGCCAGTACCAACTCCCACCCTCCAGTTACAAGACATCACCAAATGTCCCCTGCAAGAAGGGCAAAGTCACCGTTAGTCGACAACCACCACTCCCCTAGAGTCTAGGGTATTCATCTAGTCCCTTGAATACCTCCCTGTATACCAATGACTCCCAAACCATAGCCTCTGCTTGACCTCTCCACTGACCTCCATACTCCATGTGGATGCCTGACAGGTAGCTCAAGTATAATGTGGCCAGAAAAGAAGGTTTAAATTACACATGCCCACATCTCCAATATCTTCTTGTCTTTTAGTCTTCCCTGTCTCAATAAACAGCACCATTATTCCCAAGTTACTCAAGGTCACATATCTAATCCTTTATTTACCTTCCATTAGCTCCCGCCTATTAGCTCTACTACCTAAATATATTGGGTTTTCTTGGTGGCTTGGTGGTAAAGAATCTGCCTGCCAAGGTAGGAGACGCAGGTTCGAGCCCTGGGTCAGGAAGATCCCCTGGTGAAGGAAATGGCAAACCACTCCAGTATTCTTGCCTGGAAAACCCATGGACAGAGGAACCTGGTGGGTTACAGTGCATGGGGTCCCAAAAGAGTCGAACATGACTTAGTGACTAAGCAACAACACCTAAATAGATATATTCCAAGCCCATCTCCAGGGCTAACATTCTAGACCAAAGTACTAGCATCTCTCTCCCAAGGATGCAATACTTCCCAATTGGGCTTCTTGCTCCTGCTTTCTCCCTATAGTCTAAACTTCACATGGCAGTCAGGGTGATCTTTGTGAAGTATGAGTTCATTGTCTTCATCTGCACTACTGTACTCACTTGTTTGCTTATTTTTATCATCAGTCTCCTCATAGTGGGATGTATGGCTCATAAGAGTGGGGACCTTGCCCTTCCTGTTCACTGCAGTATCCCCACAGTAGCCAGGACTTGTGATGCAGACCAATGTTCAATAAGCGTGTGTTTAACGAATACATTATTACTAGCCACCATTCCTGCCTTCACCATGGGCCCATCCTGACCTAATGCCATATATCTAGATGCCACACACAGAGCCCTCCTACAGGACCTCCCAACTCACACCCCCAGGTCCTCTGCCTCTGAAAGTCCTGACCTCAGGCCATTTTGGAGGTGGTGAGCATCAGGGAAAGGGGATGGACTCTGTGTCCAGTCCCCAAACTTCATGAAGCCAACCAAAAAGCTGGCTAACATACCTGGTTGATCACTCAGAGTCCATCCTCATCCTTCCACCTGCTTCTCCCCATGACAACCTCCATCTCTTCATTCACTAGCTAAGAGACTGTCTCTGGGCTTTCAGGTAAAACCTAGTCCAGCCCCAGGAAACAACTCCTTCTGACATCTCTCCTTCCCAAAGGGTGTACTCTCCCTTGTCAGGCAAGATCTGCCTCACCAGCTGGCAAACTTCAGGAGGGTATGCACTGTCTTGACCCTAACAGCACCCTTCTGAGAGAAGACACAGCCCTGTGAGCCACAGTGAGGAGCGCCACTGGACTGGGCGGGCAGAGGGCTGGACACAGCCAAAAGCCCTTCCAGCACAACTCCAAACTTGTTTTTGTTTCTTTTTTTGGCTACACTGAGCATCATGAAGCATCATAGTTCCCTTACTCGGGATCGAACCTGTGCCCCTGGCAGTGGAGACATGGAGTCCTAATCACAGGACCACCAGGGAATTCCTGCTCCAAACTCTGAAGGGTATGAGAGGTTCTTGGCTCCACCGTTTAGGTCCTAAGAATATTTTGATATCGAGCTTTTATATAAAACCATAAAACAAATACTGATGAGGTGCTCAGCCAGGCTTGTGCCCCACCTTCTGCTCCTGACATGGGATCCTGGATATGATCAAGCTCTGAACCCAGCTTTGTTTTCACTCCCTGACCTCTGGCTGGCCTGGAGGACTGAAGGCTTCGCCCCCAGCTCAGAACTGCCACCACTGGCATCTCTGCTCATGGGGGCTGCTGGCCAGCAGCTTCAGGCTGCCTCTGGTGTCACCGGTCCACCACCTCCTAGCTGCTCCGCTGGCATGCAACTTGGGAAGCCAAATCCTTTGATGTCCAGCAGGTATGGGCCACAACTGAAAATTAAGCTATATAAACATAGTTCTATTTTAAAATTTATGTCCCCTTTTTCCAATGTTCTAGAGCCCCTAGAGGAAAATAAAACTGTCATACAGGTTGGACAGTTAACATCTTTCTAATTCTTCATTTTAGCTCCAAGGATCTGAAAGATTTAAAATACTTCACTTGAGTAAAATACTTCACTTGTGGTACAATTTTAGGGTTGAAGAGAAGATAAGCTAGCACAGAATATGTGCACCTAAGAGCAAAAATTTGACAGCTCATGGCTGTGGTCCGAAGCCTATTGTAAGGAACAAAATGGTCGGTATATGTGCATGTGTATGGCTTGTGTGGGGGTGCAGCAAGGAAGGTATCAGTGTATTTCCTATACTGTGCATAAAGATATACAATGAAGAACTATCAAAATTAATCTATAGTGATAAAAATCAGAAAAGTCAGGTATTTATATTTTCTGGGGGACTGGGACATAAGGAAACTTTCTGGAATAAAGAAAATGTTCCTATAGCTTGTTCTGGGTAGTGGTTACAAGACTACAAACTGTCAAAACTATCAAACTACACACTTAAGATCTGTATACTGTATCATATGTAAACTACATGGCAATTTTTTTAATCCCCTGAAATATGAGGACACTTCTCTACATCGGGTGGGGATGGCCCAATAGAGAATATAGGAGGTAGGGGTTCCCTGCCCTAGAGATGCCGACAGGGGCTGACTGACCTGGCAGGGATGGGGAGAAGCCCCAGCCCCAGATGTAG